AGGGGTGAGAGGAGGGAAGGAGGGAATGCCAGAGAGACCTTGAGGCTTCACACTGTCCTTGGACGAGACAATGGGGTCCTCCGTCCATTCCTCCTCCTTGTCGTCAGTCTCGAAGAGAGGATCCAACGTGCTCATCTGCCCCGGCAGTCAGTCAGCCCGGCGGGCACAGAGGAACAACAAGTTACTCGTTTGTTCGCCATCACGTTCATAGAGATCCGCTTCGTCGGCTGAGAAGAATTTTCACCAAGAGGTCATAATTCCTCCCTACCTTCCTTCTGCTCCCCCCCCCACCACCACCCCCACCACTCCTCCTCGACCCTTCTTTCTTGCCAGTCACCTTTGTGCTGATACGGTTCACACAGGTTTCTTCGTGTATCGCCACCTGATGCGAGTCAAGTCCGAAAGCTCTTTCAACTTCTTCACCTCTGAGAAAGTCCCGCAGTAGCCGCAGCCGTGATCGCAAGCGTAGATCTGCGCTGTCTCCATACCGAAAGGAGATTCAGCCGAGACATCTGCTGGGATAGCTGCTGGGCTCTCCGTGTTGTTGATGACGGGCTCTTGCTTGGGTTCGGGCATCTTAGGAGGAGAGTCCATCTTGACGTTCGCCTCCTCCTTTCTCCTCTCCTGCTCCCCGTACCCCAGAGTTGCATCTTTCACATCAGCCGCGATAGTGTTCTGCTTGCCAGGTCAGGCAGCGCCGTCTTCCTGGATCCCCTACCTGTTCATTGGAGTTTGACGTCTGAGCTGCATCCCTCGCCTTCTGTCCGGGGCAAGTCAGCTGAGCCAACAGAACGTGCGGGAGCTTCTAAGAGCTCACGTAGTTTGCAGGGATCGCAAGTCCTCCTGCTTGAAAGGTTCGTGCGTGATTGTCTGAGAAGTTCTCACTCCCCGCCTGCATTCCCCATCGACTTTCACCTGATCCGCCTGCTGCATATCCAGCTGCCGAATGCTGCAGACTGAGTCAGACCCCTGTTCCATGATCCATCATGATCGCATCGATACTTGCGGCAGAGCTGCTGGAGGGACTGGAGCATACATCGCAGACGAGGGGAGGGAGGAACGAGTGTACATGTTATTAGCCTGCCCCACAATGAGCAAGCTTCAACCGACCCTAGTGCAAACCTTCTCCAGAGATTCTAGCCTTGCCAGAGCTGCGGCCTGCTCTGAAAACGCGGGGAGCGTCAGCCGGAGAGAGGAGAGGAGGGAAGAAGGAACACGAATCTAGCACCAACCTAGATACTGAGAAGATGAAGAGTAAGCATTGGGAATGCCCGCAGACGAGACGGGTCTGGATGACCGGAGAGCTCACATCACCACAGCGATCTCTTGAATTGTACCTGGGAACTTCAGCAGTAGGAGGACCAGTGAGGCGCTCCAGCGAGTCCTCGTACCACAGCAGGAATTCCCCTGCTTCTGTCTCAGCAGAGAGCAAGATACGCTCGCTTTACTGATCACCGAAAGTGACGAATTCGGCTCCAGGGTCATCGATGTTTGTCTTCTTGCTGGCTCTCAAGTCCTGCGAGCAGGATCAGATGGAGGAAGAGAGGAGCCCTGATGGCGAGCACCTCCTTCTGCTTGGCCGTCAGCTTCGGCCCGTCATAGTGCAGCGCGTCCCAAACAGCCTCTGCGCAGCTCAGGAGCAAGTCGTTGGGCAGGATTCCATTCATGTCCTGCCAAGGAGCGACTCTACATCAGCGAGCACCACAACATATCAAAAGGAGACCGCATCAAACTTATCAAAGATTTCAGCAGCCACCTCCACACCCAAGCTAGTGCCCCTGTGTTTCACAGGGTCTGGCACAGCGTCTTCAGTGAGGATATCCCTTGTCCCTGCCCACCGGTCAGCGAGCTTGATTGCTGGCAGACCAGATTGTTCACATCCATCTCACGCACCTGGCATGAATCGGGTGGGAAACTGTGAGTTTTCCCTCAAACTGAGGTGAGAAAACCCTGTGTTCATCATAGGGGTCGACACAGCCGACCCCATCCCGGCATACGTCACCCCCTGTGAACCGGCGGTGTAGGTGCCTACGGGAGGCATGAAGTGGTTTCCGGCGGGGAGGGAGGAGGTTGTCAGAGGCCTGTACATGTATCCTGCATGTCCAGGCAAGGACATGCTGCCAGTGGAGGATCTCTCGCCTGGACGGTTGACTGGGATAGCTCCGGCTCCATATCCTGAGGTCATGTTGCTGGGATAGGAACCCAGCCCTGAGGTGAAATTATGCGTCGACGACATGCGCTGAAATGTTGATCAGATTGATGTCCTGGCATCCAAAAACACAATTAAAAGTCAGGAGTGTTTGAGCATCGATGAAACAAAATTTCAGCTATCCTTGTAAAAACTTTCAAGATATTCAAAAATTACATATTTCCCTGAGCACTACATCATTGCATTGATCATTTGGGACGATGAAGGAAGGCATGACAGGGGATTGCATTTCGATGTTAGAAACAGGATACTGAGGTCAAAAGCAGTAGTCATCCATCCTGAAGGAAAGGAGGATGGGAGGGAAAGACAAGGGAGAGGAAGAAGTCAGCAGTCAAGCAGGGAAAGAGGAGGAGGGCAGCATGAAGCTTCTCCTGCACAGACTCAACATTGTTGCTTCTGCGCTCAAGGCTCTCCGTCGCCATGGCTGTGACCAGTCAATCTACGAGGGGTGAGGCGCAGGGTACCTTCGAGAAGGGTGGGGTAGTTGTGGGACACAGACCCCGTCGAATAACCGACATCTCGGTGTGCAGTAAGGGGTAGGGGTACCTTTCAAGATGGCGGGTGACATACCATCAGGTGGTGGGGGTACCATTTAAAAATTTCAAAATAATTTGGAACTGAATAAGTAATGTTCAAAATTCACATGGAACATTTTGTGAAAGTACGCATCTGGGACTGAACTGCCACTGACCGGAGGCTTCGATAAAATCTGATCACTTGCCGGGGGTGGGTTCCAAATAAAGATTCAAATCTTAGTGGGAAATTTCAAATTCTTCTTCCTCCTTGACTTCTTTTTTCCTGTATGGCTTCGCAAGACCTTTTCCTGGAGTTCGCCGGCCGCTGATCTGAAGAACTGAAGGATTTTGCCGACTAACACTAGTAACCAACGTGACGACAAAGAAACCATTACGACGACGACGACGACGACGACAACAACAACAACAAAAGAAATGAATTGACTCACTGAAAGACTTCGGAAACTCTTTGGACCGGGATGAGTCAACAACAACTCAAGAAGAAAGTCTTTACTGCAAATAAAGTACACACTTTCAAAAAAAATATCTCAGTGTTATCTAGATGCTGTCGAAGAGGACAACTGAAGCTAAGGTTGATGCAAGCTTCTCAACAGCAGCCTTGTGCGTTATCTAGTGTTACAGTCATCTCTGAAGAGACGATAAGGTTGAGTTAGGCGACGAGGTTAGTACGAGAACGCAATGGAGTCCTGTCCTGATTTCATCAGTGATTTGGGAAAACATTTGTTACAATGCTCTCACCTCCACTTTGCCGATTCCACTCTGAAGCTGAGAAAGCAACATCTTTCAGATTAACAGCGGCGACAAGAAATGAAGCACCTGATCAAACGCTGTCTGAAGGAGATTGATCACTTGATTCATAGTTGGCCTTTCCGCTGGCTGTTTGCGGAATGTCAGAGCAAACGTAAGGTAGACGAAGACATATGCTTGCCTGCATCTGCAAGCCAGCTTGAATCACGCGAACATAGTTCTCTGGGAAGAGATGGGAGGGCTGGTAGAAACTCGTCAGATCAGACTACCATTGTTCACCAAGGATGTTACCGGGATCGGGAGAGTTTTCCTTCGTTTGATTATCATCTATCAAGGTAAGTCGTAAGTTCCATCGGTTTGATGAACATCAAATCAAACTACAGCACCTCTTTCAATCCTTCCATGTCCCTGCAAGCACGAGTCAGACCAGATCGACGGGAAACAACCACCAGGCATTGCTCACCCGTGCAACGGGCCTCCCCACGGCTTCCTCTCGTTCATCATCTCCCACAGGACGGTTGCATACGCCCAAACATCCACTGCAGCACGTCAGGCTAGATTGCAAGGAGCGCAGCAGCTGACTACCAGCTTCTGTGAGGTCTTCGCCAAGAAGTTGTTCGGGTGCCATATACCTACACCACCTCAGGGCCCTGAATGATTCCAGCCACAGACTTACGCTGGACTTCCGGAGATAGTTGTAGTTGTCAATCGGTTGCCCTCGTATACCACTCTGGCGCATCCAAAATCACAGATCTTGGCGGTCTGGCAAAAGCGATGAGTCCTCATTACTTGTAAGGTTACATCTCACCCAATCGTTGGTGATGAGAATGTTTCGAGTGTTGATATCACGATGGATGATTGACCTGCATCCAATGAGTCCTCTTCAACAAAATGCAATTTGCCAGAACGATTAACCCTACCGCTTGTCATGTGCCCTGGATGTATGCAGGTAGGAAAGACCATATGCAACTTGAAGCGCGATGTCCATTTTCTGAACAACATAGACATCAATTCCATATGATAAGAATGGAAAGCAGAACCTTTTCGACAGAGAGTTTTTGCGGGCTCTCAAAGAGAACCTTTTCCAAAGAACCTTTCTCACAAAGCTCGAACACCTGCCGAGCATTAAATCTTGGGGTGGTTATTGCATAGAAAAGGTACCAGCGAAATGAAAGGTTCTGATCCGAGAAAAGAATTCAAGAGACATCATCAATCAGTTCTTCTTCACTGCCTCCATGTAGAGCTACCTGCTTCTCCATGGCCTCTGGGGAAGTGAGCAGTAGTTCCCCAGAATGTAACGACGTTGGGGTGTCTTACACGCACCAAAATGCTAGAATCCGGTTTCATCAGAAGCGTGCCTGGCTTGCTCATGGGGTGCTCACCTTAGCTCCAGCAGCAATTCACGCATTTTAGCCTTGATATTGTGAGTCTGCAGAGGGAAATGAGTCCAGGTATGAATCCAGGCATGCTTCACCTGTCCGGGGGTAGCGATAATCTTAACAGCGACAGGGCAGCCATCGTAGGTAGCGCTGTAGACTTTTGCAAACGAGCCCTGGCAAGGAATGAGCAGGGGTCTTTCGCTCTTTCTGAACTCCTCTTGGTCCCACCTGATCGATAGCGCGCGAGCTCTCCACCCTGTCCTTCTCGATGTATGTCGAGACCACCAGGTTCATCAGCTTGTCGAACTCAAAGAGCTGCTGCTGATTGAAGCCGTCTCGGATCGCCCAGCTGTTCGCCACTTCCCTGAAGACGGATCACTTCAAGAGAGTTGCTGTACACAACAAGTACTTGAGATCCGGAGAGTCGATAACAGGCGATGGTGTTTTTACTTGAATTGTGTGGCCATGCACCGAAAGAGGAAACCTGGCCGATCCTCCCATGGAGTTGACCAAGTTCTCGTCGTAGGGAATAGGAGGGATCATAGTTTGCTACCAACGGCAGTCATTGCCATTCTACCTTTCCTTTCACCTCACCTGCACTGAGATCGGAACCATGTGCATTCCGTGAGCCATCCCGGCGTGCAAATGCGGCGAGGGCATCATCTTTAGATATTCTGTCAAAGGAAAGAATGCCTTAGATTAGTCAATTACCATGGACATAGGATGATGGCTGATGCCAGGGTTGGGGAAGCCATGGGCACCCTGAGTGTAATTCACTACATCTATCCCTCATGCAATCAGTAGACAGAACCTGTAGGTAGCTTTCGGCCTGAGCCTGTTCCCAGGATATCGGCATGTCTCAATGGTTTTAGTTGACGGGAAAGTTTTCTCTCTGCGTGCCAGGAAAGCGATTGACAGAACTAAAGGTCCCTCCAGTGATTGTTTGCGAAGTACCTAGTTTTCAAAGGATCAATTCACAACCAGAACAAACACCAACTTTGGCACGAGAACGGAATTCAGTGATGGTGCCTTTCTACTTCCTTCTGTCCTCTATCCTCCTCTATCCCCTCCTCAATGCATCTCTCCTCCCCCTCTCCTCGTCGTCCTCCTCCGCAAGCTCTCTCCGACGTCTCCCTCCTCTAGCTAACCCTACCCTCCACTCCCCATCAGAACCCCCACCCCCATCTCACCCCTGATCTCACGACCTCTCCAAAACCCTCCGTTGGGGCTACCCCAGATCCCCAGTCCCCACCCCTGTCACTGAAATCGAAAGTCCAAGATGACCGGGTTCTCAGACTATATTTTGTGGTCAAAACACCCCTACTCAGATAACCCCACCCTCCTTTCTCCATCTGCGATCGCCAGCCTCACCCGTCTAGTCAACTTCCACAATTTCATTCAACGGTATCCGACCACCCCCGTAGCATCGACCACCACTACCCCCTCAAACCAGTGTATGTACCCCTGCTTTCATCACATGTCACCCACGCCTTGTCAAGATCTCCAGACGTACCCCACCTACAAGTACATCGATGTAAAGTACCCCTACCACCTATTTGATTGATACAGACCCACCCAAGTTACAGTGATTTGGTGACCCCTGTAAAATCAGGAGGGGGTGGGTGATACAGGTGCTGGCAACGGTGTTTTCGAGACCGTACCTTCAACGGCCTTTCATCAGATTTCAGAAATTAAACCATATAAATTTGAATTATCTGAACTATATTGAAAAACAATACCACTGGGATTTTACTCGATGCTGGAATTCTTCAGGGTGAGGTGAGCCCTGGGTGAGGCTGGGGGTGAGGGTGATGAAACGGTATATGAGGGTGATGAACAAGGGTATGAGGACGATGATGCTTGTGTCGGAGGGCGATGAGATGAAAATAATCCGAGCGCAGTTTTGCCCCTACGGCGGCTGGTGGACAGGAGGTAGCAGGAGTGCGGTTTGCTGAGGGATGCAAGGTACTTCCTCAACACCTTGGAGCGTGTCCTCTACAAGAGTGTAGCCAGTGCAAGCGTGCTTTCTTCTTCCCGCAATCTGTGCGGGTAGCACGGAGGACTTTGAGCAGACAGGAAGCTGTGGACAGTCTCGGTGTTCCAGCACAGCTGCCGTTGCTATGACAAGCCAGTCAGTCGCAGTCCCGGCCATCACTCAGTCTCCCGGACCTCAACGGTCAGCACCGCCACGGCCGCGGCGTCCGCAACCCTCGCTCGAAAAGCTGAGACTGTCGCTGGCAGACGTAGAACAATTACGTCGAGATACTGAAGATCTTTTGAACCACAATCTGGCTGACAGCACATGTCAAACGTACCGTCAGGACCGGCAGGCAACGAAGGATTGTTCTGTGAAAGTTACCGCGGGGAAAGACCCTCTACCTTTTACCATCTACCAAGTACTAGCGAAAGAGATGCTTTGCAAGATGGACAGGGAATTCATTTGGGGAAGAACGTTTATGCTTTTAAGCTGGAACTTGATGTCAAGGAGCAGCAACACTGCAGGATTGTTGTACAATCATATGGATTTCGCAAACGATGCGTTCCAATTCTATACCATTCACCAGAAGGACCATCACGGGGGAGACAAGGCGATGTGAGCTTCTACCGTCTTGTCGTTTGTTCAATTCACTCATGAATCTTTCTAAGGGATCCAAAACACGTGTATGCAAACACCACCAACCCTTCCATATGCCCGATCTTGTCGTTAGGTACGCCGCCTGACATACCTCGAACGAACTTTTATTGAAAGGGAGTTGATGGCAGGTGTTTACTGGTTGATGTTCCCAGTGGACCACTCAACGTCAGGAGGTCGGTTATTCCCAGGCACCAGCCAATATGAAAGATTCAGAAAACTTTTCAGCAAAAGGTTGTTGCAGGACAAGGATGTTCTTGTAGCTCTTGAGAACAACGGTTTACACGTCGGAGACTTAGGTCGCCCATCACATCTAGTCATTCACCAGTTGATGCTGCATACAGGCACACATAGTATCAGAAAAGGATCGGCTACATATACGGCGTCAGGAACTACCAGCGGACCAAGCATCAGTGCGATTTCACTGCGAGCTGGTTGGAAAATGGGTACGATACATGACACGTATCTCAGATACGAGGCCGCTGCAGACCAGCAAGTAAGTTGATTCCGGGAAAGTATTGCGGCCAGTATCTGACTTCCAACCACACCAGGTAGGAAGGAAATGTTGTGGTTTACCCACAGACAAACCAGAATTTGCGGCCCTACCGCCTATGTTCTGGTGTGAGAATAGTGAAACACGGAAAGAGATCAATGCGATCATGGACCAACTATATCCATGCATTCAGGGAAATGCACGGCTTAGGAGGCTTGCTGAACAATCTCTGGCGTCTGTCATCTACCATGAAAAATTTCTTCGTGAAACAATGCCCACAAACCATCCTCTGTTTCAAACGGAATTGTTCATTCACGAAGGATTCATAGCTACGTTGAAGAAATTCGTTACAACTGAGGCGCACGGAAGAGTTGCGACGGGGATAACATCCCATACATGCTTGTTGAAAGAAATGGCAGAAATCAAAGTCGAAATGGCAAAAATCAAAGGCATGATCCAGAAGCAGAAAGAACAGTCTAGAATGCCATGTCAGCGTTGTCACCGTCCCGTCGGGGCACACGATGGCACCGTCACATCAGTGAGCGGTTCTACCACAGTTGAAACTAGCGGTCGGCATGAAGACAGCATGGGAATTTTTCATCAGATGTTTGTTATTGTCAATGACAAAGTGGATACCATCCTTGCCAGATCCCAGGACATTGGAGCTCGCAGGCTGGTAAACAACTTGAATCGTGATGAGGAGAACGATGTATTGGGCTCATCACAAGGACAGGTTGTGAGTAATTCACGGAATGCGACAACGAAGCCGCAGAAAGGTACATTCCCTTGGGCACAGATGACCACGAGATGCGCGTACATGGTGTATCATTTCGGACATGCGGATACTCGAAAAGGTCCATTCAAGCGCCTTAGAGGGATTGACTTTCCCACGAAATATGACGGCAAGAGGCATTCTGATATGAAATATCTGTTCGAACGCATCAAAGAGGAGGCTGAAGCTCTTGGGATTTACAAGGCTGATCCCAATCGCGAGGAGGCAGGTTTCATATTTGATCAATGCGAAAATTATCTCTTCGAAGAGTACGAGAAGGTCACTAAGACGGAAACAAATGGTGACATGTCAAGATTTACGCAACTGTGTTGGATGACAGTGGTGGGTGTGCTGAGAGGCAACAGAAAGCGTCGCCGGAAGGCTGTGAGACCTGAGACTTAAGTAAATGAATTTGACAAGAGCGAAACACACACTCTCGTCAGCATTGTCATGGTATTGAACAAGTCCAAGGGCCCGGCATCAACTCCACTCATCATGCTGCCTACCTGCCTTGATGCTGCACAGAATCTAATCTATCACACTGTAAGTACGATCAGGCTTGCAAACATTTATCTCTCCCATGCTTCCGACACAGGAAGGCCCCACTCTAGCGTCTCCATTCCATACTGTCGGCGTCTTCCTGCATGCATGCACCCATCCATTCTCCCTGCTTCCATCATGATATCTGCCCTGTCATGAAGAAAGTCAGGTACATTTTGATCAGCGCCCAGAGACTGAGCTCAAAGAAAACCTTCGAGATACTGGTTATGAATGTCGCTGTGCATAGTAGACCTTCCTCGCAAAGGAGCCCGCCAGCCAGTCGTCGGAGGTCTCTTCCAAGAAGGAGGTAAGGGTAGGCGAGCTGTAGTAGTGTTGTAGGCATGGGGGAGACGTGATTTGCTTTATTATAGTACATGCCTATGCCAGCTCCTACTCCCTCATGCACGCCCCTACCCGCTTGGCCTTGAACGTCTGCCCGAAGCTCGGCTGCAGCATCTTCCGTCGGTCGAAGCCTCCGCTCGTGTAGCCGCAAGCCGGCGGGTCGGCCGCTGCAGGCCTGGCAGAGTCGGGCTGCGGCCTCGTCGCCTCCTCCAGGTCGTCGGCGAGGACGAGCTGCACCAGCGCCGCCGCCAGCACCAGCACCACGAAGCCGAGGTGAACGAGACGGCTGAGGGAGACAGACAGGACGTGGAGGGAGGAGACAGAGAGGGAGGAGGAAGCAGGGCAAGGGGACTCGAGGGCGAGGAAGAGATCAGCGGGGAGGGGAGAGAGAGGATGCCAGTCGTGGGAGGTAGAGTCGAGAGGAGACATGAGGCAAGGCAGGCTGGGAGGCGATGGCGTGGGCGTTGCAGATGTGTGGAGGAGATGCAGGGGAGAGAGTCAGTCTTATACAGGGACTGGGGGAAAGAGCAAGTGGAAGCACAAGAGAGCTATTCCTCTACTGGAGGTCAAGTGCACCCCGTGCCGTGGTACGATGACATGTCATGGTCACGGAATGGTCGTAAGATCGCATCGCTACGTTAAAGCTCCGTCATACATTTGCACCTCCGAAGCGTCTAGTGTCATCAATCTCTAGCCCTCGGGGCCTCGCTCCGAAGACACTAGATGCATCTAGAATAACTGGGAACACCCTTTGAGTCCCGATGGCAGGGAGTAAAAATCCTGACGTCCACGAAAAGCATCCTTCTCGCACTCATTCCATGCGCTGGCCATGACGGATAGTTTCATCGGTTACTCTCCATCCTCTCCGGGGTAGGGTCATAGAGCACTCTTGAAGGTGTACCACACGGGTAGTCCCATACCCGAGAGGGGGTGGGGGGTGGATTAGAGCTTTACATCCTTCGCAGGCTGTGGGGTACTTTTGACCCTCCACTAGCTCTCTTGTGCTTCCACTCCCGGATGCCACATACTTCTCCCCCCTCCCCTCCTCTCTGTATACCACCTTGACGTTCCCTCTCCGCCCCTACATCTCCCTCCCTCCTCTACCTGCTCTGTCTGCTCAGCTCTACTGCCTACGAATACCTACCACACGTAGACCTTCTCCTCCTGCCCACCTCCAATCCTTCCCTTCTTCTCGACATGACGGCTGCCTGCCCTACCTCCCATGACTGGCATCCTCCCTCTCCCCTCCCCGCTGATCTCCTCCTCGCCCTCGGGTCCCCTTGCCCTGCTTCCTCCTCCCTCTCGGTCTCCTCCCTCCACGTCCTGTCTGTCGCCCTCAGCCGTCTCGGTCACCTCGGCTTCGTGGTGCTGGTGCTGGCCGCGGCGCTGGTGCAGCTCGTCCTCGCCGACGACCTGGAGGAGGCGACGAGGCCGCAGCCCGACTCTGCCAGGCCTGCAGCGGCCGACCCGCCGGCTTGCGGCTACACGAGCGGAGGCTTCGACCGACGGAAGATGCTGCAGCCGAGCTTCGGGCAGACGTTCAAGGCCAAGCGGGTAGGGGCGTGCATGAGGGAGTAGGAGCTGGCATAGGCATGTACTATAGTAAAAGCAAATCACGTCTCCCCCATGCCTACAACGCTACTACAGCTCGCCTACGCTGACCTCGTTCTATGAAGAGACCTCCGACGACTGGCTGGCGGGCTCCTTTGCGAGGAAGGTCTACTGCGAGCTTCCATTGCCACAGGCTCAGTCTCTGGGGGCTTTTTGCTAAATGGATGTCTTATCTGCTCTCTCATGTGCGAGTTTGACAGATCGTCGTCTTCATCTTCAGCATCCCCGGGCTGCCTGCTCTGCCATCTTGTTTTGACAGACCAATCCCTTGGAGTATATTGACAGAACCGCATCAGCAATGCCATGGCCCGAAAGAGCCTTGAGCTCACGGAGGACCCCTGAGTCGCCTGATGCCAGATTCCCAGGAAAGCATCTTGAGATGCTCCTCCTTCATACCTACGCAACCCCCTCCCTCCTCGCCAGCAGCTCAAGTCGCAGCACACATGCATAGCACAAGCTCCCTGGCATACTACATCGTTTATTCACATCGCTTACATCATATCATACATACATTTGTCCTCCTCCATTCCTACACAACTACCCCCTACTCCCTCATGCACGCCCCTACCCGCTTGGCCTTGAACGTCTGCCCGAAGCTCGGCTGCAGCATCTTCCGTCGGTCGAAGCCTCCGCTCGTGTAGCCGCAAGCCGGCGGGTCGGCCGCTGCAGGCCTGGCAGAGTCGGGCTGCGGCCTCGTCGCCTCCTCCAGGTCGTCGGCGAGGACGAGCTGCACCAGCGCCGCCGCCAGCACCAGCACCACGAAGCCGAGGTGAACGAGACGGCTGAGGGCGACAGACATGACGTGGAGGGAGGAGACCGAGAGGGAGGAGGAAGCAGGGCAAGGGGACCCGAGGGCGAGGAGGAGATCAGCGGGGAGGGGAGAGGGAGGATGCCAGTCATGGGAGGTAGGGCAGGCAGCCGTCATGTCGAGAAGAAGGGAAGGATTGGAGGTGGGCAGGAGGAGAAGGTCTACGTGTGGTAGGTATTCGCAGGCAGTAGAGCTGAGCAGACAGAGCAGGTAGAGGAGGGAGGGAGATGTAGGGGCGGAGAGGGAACGTCAAGGTGGTATACAGAGAGGAGGGGAGGGGGGAGAAGTATGTGGCATCCGGGAGTGGAAGCACAAGAGAGCTAGTGGAGGGTCAAAAGTACCCCACGCCTGCGAAGGATGTAAAGCTCTAATCCACCCCCCACCCCCTCTCGGGTATGGGACTACCCGTGTGGTACACCTTCAAGAGTGCTCTATGGAATGAATGCGAGAAGGATACTTTTCGTGGACGTCAGGATTTTTACTTTTTGCGGAGCTTTAACGTAGCGATGCGATCTTACGACCATTCCATGACCATGACATGTCATCGTATGACGGCACGGAATAGCTCTCTTGTGCTCTGACGGTGCCGGCGTCTTTGCGAATTACAATGCCATAACCTTCTTGTTCCGGCACGTCGTTGACGGTCATAGAGCTTTTAACTCTCCCAGTCTTTACTCAAAGTTAAGTTAAAAATCAGTACGAGGACAATAATGAGAGTCGAGGAGGCTTGCCCCTGACACTGTCGCACAGGCCAAACGGCGAGACTCAGAGGAGAAAAGACAGCGAGAACCAAACCTATTCCTGCGGCCAACTGCAGTGCTGTCCCCCAACTGCAGTCACGAGTCGGAAGTTCCGGCCCGGCGGGCCGCCGCGTTCCGACTCGGACCGTCGGACTGTCGGACGGTCCGACCGCGGCTCCCCCCCCCCCCCGGGCCCGGCGGCCCGGTTCAACGGTTCATGGTTGGCAGGCTTCGGAGACTGAGCAGGTCAGAGCGGGGATGTGGTTGTCGTTCGGTTGATTTGACATGCACGACTGGCTGGCTTGGGCAGGGGAGGAGCTGAGGAGGATGAGGAGGAGGGGAGAGCCTGCAGCTGTGAGGAGGAGGAAGACGAGAGAGGAGAGGAAAAGGAGGATAGAGCGTAGGCTGCGAGCTCTCTATGAAGAGCTCAGGAAGAACGTGAGCACGCACGGAGTGCAGAGGGAGGTTGAGGTAGAATCGATTGTTGGGGCGGTGGCGAACGAGGGGCTGGTAGACATGCTCCTGTCCTGTGAGATGCCGGACGAAGACGCAAGAGCAGATGAGTGGTCGGGAGCTGAAAGTGAATCAAGAATCCTGGATATGAACATCAAGAAAGCGCGGGATAGAGAGAATTACCTGAAGGCGATAGAGGAGCAGATGCGAGGGATTTGTGGTAAAGAGGGGAAGGTAACTCCGAATCACTTCAAGGCTCTGTTGGACACCATCATGAAGAGGATCGACACCAAGAAGGATGCCGTGGAGCTTCCCTCGCTCGAGTCTCTAGGAATCTCAATGCCCCACACAGTTTTCCTCAGCAACGGCAATCCAACGGGATGGTATTACATGTCAGGAGGGCTTCCGGGGAAGCTCATGCGGCGGACGAGCGAGAAGACAAACCTGCTCTACATCCAGCAGGTGTTTGAAGCAGAACATCTCAAGGAGCAGGAGGCTGATGGCAAGGAACAAAAGGTGTCGCGCTGGGAAGCTTGCTGCATTGCCCGGATACTGAAGGACAACGCCTTGCGCTACAAGTTCCTCTCCCTGAGACAGTTCAAGTCTTTCATTCAAAGTGAAGAAATGCTCCACTGCTCCAGCTTTGCTCGCGTCTGTGATCGAAAGTATCCGAGGCGGCGGTGGGATGTTGTCTACTCCAAGGACTGCCAGGTTGGCAAGGTTCCCATCTTCCTGTGCTGGGACTCTCCTGCTGCCTGCTTGAGAGATACGGAGGAGGAGGCAGAGGAGGCGAGGGAACAGGATGCCGAAAAGTTTGAAATGCAGCCAGTAGAAGTTCGCTCGGAGGACAAAGTCATGAACTGGATGATGGAGCAGCGAGCTCGAGCCCTTGTGCAAGCCCTGGAGCGTCAGGCCGAGGTCAACATCCTCAAGGCGAAGTTCACCTTCTCCCTGGACTCGTCCAAGGGGATGCGCTCAAACCTCTTTCTGATGGACTGTCAGGATGTCGTAATGGAGACAGATGTCGATCACGGGCACCAACACATAGAGACGACAAGTCCTGCCCCTCCCCTGTGCACGTCAAGACAGGCTTGCAGAGGCGACTACTGCGATGGAAGCTATCCTTATGAGTTTGCCAAGGAGCCCGACCTGATTCAGAGGTGTCAGTTAGGCTCTTATGACAATCTGCACGAGGCGGAGGGGCAGAAAAATCTATCCTCGCACTTCGTCTCCTACCAGATACTTGCCATGGACAGAAAAAAATCAAGTATGAATCGAGTGTACGCTATATCCAGCAAACAAGCTGCAGACTTGTCTTTCAGGAATCTCAATCAGCTCCTGCACGTGAAGGGCAGGGGAAGGGTTCTTGCTGATGGACTGACCTTCTGGGCTGAATACCAAGGAGAGATCTCGACCGACGTATGTTTGACGCTGACGTCGCCCAGCGGGACGCTCGGGAAAATTCATCGATACTCACCCGAGCAGGGCACGAGGTCTGGTGTCGACGTCACTCAGCCCTCCATTGCTCCCGTGCTCGCTGACAAGCTCCGGATCGTTCAGACCTTGACTTGCTTTCAGGGAGAGGAGATCCACGGGGATTGGAATCTGAGCCACCCGATGCTGGAGGCAGGGCAGCAGTTCAATCCGCAGGGGGCAGCGCCACAGCTGCTGGGTTGGGGACTGTCGATCTCGTACAGGCTGCATGCTGAGTGCGGGTCGAAGAAGGAGCAGCGGTCGAGGCCGCCGAGCGCCAAGGCAACTTCCCTGATGCAGCCGATCCAGTCGAGTGAGAAATTGATTCGCCCCTTTTCTGCCAACACTTGGAAGAAGGTAGAGCACGAGGCCTCCGAGGCCGTCAGAGGCAGAGTGAGCCTAACGGACAGGCCCAACGTTGGCAGCTTCAGCTCGCTGGGCAGGATGGCTCTGATAGACAACGTGCCTGTTTGCCTCCATTGTTACGCTGTCTATGCAAAGATCTGGAAGAACAATGCAGCCAGGGAGAGGGCAGTGAACCCGTTCAAGCCCATGGAGAGTCGCTCATCTAGGACGCAGAGGATGAAGGACAAGGTATGGGAGCCATGGTTGACTTTGTCCCCAGTGGAAGAGATCGTCGGTAACTTGAAAGACCTGCATTGGCACCAGCAACCTGTATATAAGGAGCAGCAGAAGGAAAACTTGGTCTTGCAGCAGAGTTCAGGAGCAACTGAAGAGACATTTGAGAGAGAACATCAGGAGATGAGAAAGGAACGAGCCAATGCCCGCAAGTTGCGCCTCAAGATTCAAGTCGAAAGTGCCTCAAGGAAGGAAGGGGGCAGGAAGGACAGAAAACCACCCTACAGAAGTAAGATCGCAGGAGCAGGACAGAGCACGAGCAGCGAGCAGCGAGCTCAGCACAAAGATCTGATGGAGCAGCTCCTACAAGGGGATTTGACATCGGAGCAGGCCTTCTGCCGACTCACTGGGAGGGCGCTGACCAGTGACCTCAGCGGCAAGCAGGAGGACGTGGAGGCATATCGAGGTGGGGGAGAGCTGTCAGGAGCTCCTGCCACCTTTTCACTCCTCCGCCATGATTCCAAACCCTCGGAGGGTTTTGAGGAGAAACCAAGCGGCATGAGCGATGAGTGGGTGTGGAACGAACCAACTGCTGGGGCAGTAGGAGGGGCGGGAGGGGTAGGAGAAAGCAGGATGAGACACTTGGAGGCGATACATGAGGCTCAGGGCAAGGAGAATGTTCGCACGAGCGAGCTGATCGCTGCGTATCATGCGGATGGACTACGGGGGAGGAAACTATGGTCCATGAAAGCAAGCACTCACAGCAGCCAGTCAGGTGGACTGATCTCAGTCCTCCCTCGGGCTGGGAGGCAGGGAGAAGCCTCTTCCTCTTCCTCCTCTGCTGCCCCCGCCACTTTCTTCCCAGAGCGGATAGGGACGGTGGCAGTAGTGGATGGAGCTTTGATCGAAAGGAAAGCGTTGCCAAACTCAAGACCCTGGAAGTAGATCTCGAACAAGCAAAGCAGCACTCCATCCATTTCTTCTCCTACTCGTTTCGCAGATAATTACAATACACATGCATAGGCTATTTACAACAGGAGAGACTACTTTGACAAATTCTGGAAATCTTGCAGCCCGTGTCGATTCGCTCCCCTAACACTCACAACCTCATCCTCTGATCTCCTGGCATCATCCGCTCTCTACGGTTGCCTCTTGGTTCGCCCTCTCGTGCTCATTGTTCTTGTCTATCGCAGTGATCACTTCTTCAAGAGCATTCTTGCGAGGAGGAGGAGGAGGAGGCACCGAATGGTCCTCCTCGGTGATAATGAACCCGCATGTGAGGCAGAAGAACTTACAGACGTATAATCGATGTCGCTGCATGGCGCCTGGAGCGTGACAGCGAAGACTCCCAGTGTCCCACCAGCGACTAGCTCGACCCACACCCCTGATGTGACCTGCTCAGAGAATTTCAGGATGCACAAAAGTGAGAAGTCATGGAGGATCTCGGGGACTGTTCCTGTCCTGTCAATCTTCCTTCTGATCCATAAGGTGTACACAACATGCTCTCCCCCCTCCCCTCTCAGCTCTCAGCGGCTGCTGCTGCATCTCAATTGGCTCAACCTCTCTGTCCAACTGATGGACTTCTTTCGATCCACTGACATGGAGCGCTAAAAAATGAAGGAAACAAATAAGACGAGGAAACGCGAATCTGATAAGCCTGCAGTCCTCCTCAAACATCCCCTCCTTCCCTCCTTCCCTTCCTTCCTTTTTCTATCTACACTCCTCTCCTCTCCTCTCCTCTCCCCTCCTCTCCCTCCTCTCCTCTCCTCTCCTCTCCTCTCCTCTCCTCTCCTCTCCTCTCCCTCCTCTCCTCTCCTCTCCTCTCCTCTCCTCTCCTCTCCTCTCCTCTCCTCTCCTCTCTCCCTACTCCGTCTATCCATGCGCCTGTGTTCCACTGAGTCAACCTTTTTCACTCTGAGGCGGGTCCGATATTTACCCCACCTCCATGAAGCCCTGAGACTACCCCTACTTTACTGGGGGTCATCGACCTACCGGCCTCTAAGAAATGGCGTCACATGCACGCCGAACTTTCGTGATGCTGGCGATGGTGGCGGGAGCGAACGCTTTCCTGCCCTCGACTTCTTCGCCTCTTGTCTCTCTCCGAGATGCGAAGGTGAGTCGATGAGAGCTCCTGATGCCCTCCCTCCCATCCTATCCTCAACGGCTCCATCGTCATCGTCTTGTACAACCAACACTGCGGATTCCTGGAGCAGCTTCCCGTTCAAGCAGCATCTGTCTTGATCTGACTCCCATGGTTTTCGCAGTCTCTTTGCAGAGTCAATGGAGTGCATAAGATGGCTCTTGCCAGCCGCCTGCGCATGAGCGACTCGGACCTTCCCTTGACTGACGCCGGGCGCCGTGAGCTCCGTGACTTAGAGGGCCAGTGGAAGAATGTCTGCGTGCTCGGAGGAAGTAAGAACAGAACTCACTATCTTGACTCAAAGATTCCATGCCGCGTGTAAGATCCTGTCAACAGGCCGTGGCGTTGGGCGGGAGATTATTTCGGAGTTGTCGTCAATGGGTGTCAACGTAATGCTTGCGGTTCTTGGAACTGGGCTCCTTGTAAGAGAATGTGGTTAGGTGGTTGCTCTCGTGAGGAAGGAAGAGAGCAAGAAGGAACTTGAGGCTCTTGCTGGTGTCAAAGCGGTACACAGCTTTTCAAACCCTGTGGCTCAGTGTGCAGGTCACTGAGAGCCACCAGGTCGTCGGAGACGCCAAGGAGGCTTCGGACGTTATCTCAGTTCTTGACGGTGTGTTGAGGAAAGGGACATCAATCACCGCTGAGTTCTTCTTTCCAAAGGATGCGATGCTTGCATTAGCACCCTTGGTGGTGAGACTGACGGAGTGAGGATCGATTACAAGGTAACAGAATGAGCCGTCGACGCTGCAGCATGAAATCATGGTAGGGGAACATGAACATGATCGAGAACGCTGGGATCCTCGGAGTCACCCGCATGGTCAGCTCCACGCGCGATGAGCAAGAAATCTGACTCGGCTCAACTCAGGTGCTGGTCACCAGCATCGGGTCGGGTGACAGCAAGGGCGCCATTTCCAACGAGGTGTACGAGGCCCTGAAGAATGCACTGGTCAGGCCGTACTGAGGCCCAGCTCTCGCTTCTCACCTCACCCCTCAGGTCGACAAGACCAAGGCGGAGAACTTGTTGCTCAAGTACTACACCAACACGGACTACACCATCATCAGGCCAGGCGGACTCATCACTGCTCCCTCCACAGGCAAGGTAAGGACGCCATGCTGATGTTGCGCTCCCGGTCAGATGAAGTGAATGCAGGCCATCGTGACGGAGGATAAGATGGCGGCGGGAGCGATTCACAGATCGGATGTTGCAAGACTTTGCGTCAAGGCATTGTAAGATCTGGTTCGCTGAATGCCCTGGCACACGCCTGACTAGAGGAATCCCCAGGTACTCCAAGAAGTGCTCGAAGATGGTGCTGTCTGCGGTCGACCCCTCACTCTCCAACCCACCTGCCTCCTACAAGCCCTTCGAGTTGTGAGTGGCCAACTTCAGAGGCATGCGAGCTTGGCGGTTTTGTCATAGGGGTAAAGGCGAGCAACCAGAGGCTGTAAGTTTCTGACAAGAGTTTTGTTTTCAACCAAAGGAATTCATTAAAATATTCACATCTATCAGATTCAGGCCAGTGCCTTGGCCTGCGCTTTCATGGTGTTGAGCATGTTCAAGAAGCCATTGTTCCTGCTCGGGGTCAAGCTAACCGACAGACCTGCTTCCTTGACGAACTCGGGGCTCACCTCCAAGATGTCTTGCACAGTATTGCCCGACAACCCCCGCACGAGCATAGCGCAAAGGCCCTTAGTAAGCTGTGAGTCTGAATCTCCTGTATACCAGATCTTTCCCTCCTCATCTTTTGTGGCGTGAACGTAGACCGTCGATTGACATCCCTTGACCTTGTTCTCCTCCACCTTGTGAACCTCTTCCATGGCACCCAACTTTGCGGCGAAGAACAGCAGCTGCTGGTACCGAAGCTTAGGGTCTGGGACTAGCGAAAACTGCTGAACGATCTTCTGCAGCTCGGGCGTGAGTTTGACCTCGTTGACGCTCATTCGAACTCCGACGTTCAGACTGCGAGCCAACCTTGGTCCATTCGGCAGCGACTGCACCCCAGCCCTTTTGCTGGGGGCAGAAGCAAGCGGAAGCAAGGAGGAGCTCTGCACGAAAGCGGCATTCATCCTCTTGCATGCATGAAAGGCGCTGGACCTCTCTGCATTCGCTGCACCTGCCATCACCGTCGTCATTGCAATCGCCATTGCCGCTATCATTTTGGTTGCTTGCATGCCTTCGCCCTCCTGGCCTCTGATTGGAGCTCCCACCCTACCCCCACTAATGAGTACCCCCTCCTTACCAACAGTACCCCTCATTACTCCTGTTTAAACCCCTGTCAAAGTATGGAGCACTTGTGCATGACTTCACGGGACCCCCCCTTTTCACCCTACCTCACTTGTTTGCGGAGGGACCCGAGTTAACCCCCTCTGCCTCCCCCCGTGGAGGTCTTGTAACTATTAAGTCTACCCATAAAGCAGGAGCCCCAGGGGTCAAGGGATTCGGGTATACCTAAGGGGGCAACAAAGGGGACCCTCCTAGTTGGTATACATGGGTGGGGTAGGTGACGAGTCCCAGAAATTTCGCGAATTCGACATGTACGAGTCCGCCTCAACAAATAAAGGCTGTATTCAAGTCCACCTCAGAGAAATAATTATTAATTGATGAAGGCAGCGATTATCTGGTCATTCTTGTGCGTGTTGGAACTGAAGTATGGGGCGGGAGGGAGGGGGAGGGCGGGGGCGGTACCCTGGGGTTTCCAATGATAGCGAAGGGTGGGTACAGAAGCGAGAATCTTGGGGTAGTAGCCAAGGGGTAGTAGGGTTTGTGGGGTTGTTGGTCTCTCACACATAAATCATCGTCAGATTTTAAAAGGTTTTTCTGAAATTGAGTGCAATCATGTGTAAAATTCCCTGGAAATTTCACCATCAGTGAAAAATTTCAATATTTCATGACATATTTTGGAGGCGGATTGACCGGGAGGGCCATGGCAAGGCGGGTGCGGGGGGGGGCTGGTGCAGGACTATCTCTCCTGCACCTTGTTTGCTTCCTCTTCATCCTGCCGCATGCTCTTCCCTTCACCCTCAGTCCTCCTTCTCTCACTGCGCCCTCGACTCTTAGCATCTCGAGATTGAATGGTTTCCATGGGAGAAATAACCTGCCAGCCCGATCGCGTGCCAGGATATGCTCGAACATTTGTTCGGCAGCTAGATGGTCTCCCGCTCAAAGCCTAGGAAAGCTGGGAGAGCTTCTTGTAGGGAAACCGACTGAAGTCGAAGAGCTGAAGAGGAACGAGGTGACATTCAGAAACCTCGATTATCTGGACCTGAGCACAGGAGGGAATGGGAAGTTGCAGGCTGTCGCAGCACTGTGCACCAGGGGAATGTTTGGATCCGAAGTTGGGGCGTTGTGGGTTTATCAAAATTTCGCTGCGAAATATGCTCCGGACGCGGGTAGGAAGAGTGTCATTATCGTAGCTGAAACGCCAGATCAGACCGTCGTTGGATGTGTTGGGATGGAGCTGATGCTGCTGTCTGAACGGGGGATGTCGTGGTGGAATGATCCTTCTTCCGTAACGAAGCTACGGCCCTATGTTTCAGATCTGGTGGTCGATTCTGACTACCAGAGGATGGGTCTTGGGCAACAGCTGCTGCAGAGATGTGAGACGTTCGTTCAAACAGAATGGGCCGATGAAGTCGATGCGGTATCCTTGTGCGTGTCGTTGTTGATTTGCCTGATGAAGTTTTCTTCAGATGAAACCACTTGAAAGACTGGATTATGCGCTGGACAAGGTTTTTCTGAAGGTCTGCGCTCCCTTGGTCTTGGTGTGACCTGAGGAGTAAAGCTCTTGGCAGGTCAGCTTGGACAACACAAAAGCGATGAACCTCTACAAGAAGATGGGCTACCGGGAGTGCGCAAGAGCACCAGAAGAACTCTTGATCCCCACACATGATCACTACATTGAGTGGCCGGTTTTGAACCTCTACCTGTGCAAGCAGCTGTAGCACTTGAATCTCAATTCCACCCTTGCCTCGAGGGCACTGGTGTTCTGGCAAGGCCCATGGTAGAGGAAATTGTTTCCATTCAAGCGGAACAGCATAGTCTATTCTTGGCTTCAACCTCGCCACTCAGGAACGGAAGTTTTCCAACGCAATCATGTAAATTAAGAGCATTAAAATTTCAGTGAGATTTATTCCTAGTCGATTGCTTGATCCGGCGTGTAGCAAACCATCAGTCCATCAGTGCGTCCGATTAGTGAACGATGTGTTTCAAGGGCTCTGCCTTGATGGATGTCCAATCCGTGCCGCTATCCTTGTGCTCGTCCACCTCCCCCACTATTGCAATGTTGTCTCCTCGAACAATATACAAACCTAGTGTCACCTGGAATGCAGTCAGTGCAAGCTGGGTGCAGGGTGCAAGCTCGGCACCTGCTCGACGCCTGCTTCTTTTGAAAAAACTCTCTCGTAGCACTCTTCCAATATAACATTCAGCTTCTGATCTAGTCCTTTCAATGTTCCGATAATATTTCTCCCATCATTTGTAATGATTGAAACAGGAGAGTCGATGAGACTAGAAAGCTCTTTGTGGCATTCAGTCATTTCAGAGAAATGCCCTTGTTATGTGCGAAACGTATCCAATTCCTACGCTCTGCGGCAAGGGTTAGAGAAAAAGGAATATCACACCCTATGTCAACAAGAGAAAGTGACACATGGCACACATATCGTATTCAAGTGTATTGATTCCAGCTCATAAAGACGGTCAATCATGTGCTTTAGTATCCTAGTCCAAGTTTTGCCCTACTTTGTTTTGTGTGTGTTTCACATACTCAACACCTAGGCCTCTAATGAATCTCAAGTAACAATGTGTTTTCCCGAACTAGTGACCATCTACATTTCTGCGCGAACTCTACTTCGTTCCGAGTACCTAGCATCTGCAAATCTTGATCTTAGATATCTGTTCAATATCAATAGCTATTATCCTCCCTAGATTCTAACTTGCGCATGGTCGCTAGAGGCCATTCCTCGTCTTGATTCTCCTTTGATTCCTATTCATGATCTCCCGCTCTTCGCCATTCCAACCCCAACACTATTATTGCATCCGTCATCTCTCACTGTCCATCACCAATTGTGTCTTGATAATCACGATTCCTTCATATCACACGAACAACTCTCCGCCATAATCCCCTCCCCCCGCTTCCTTCCCGCCCAGTGCATGCCGCCTCTGCAGCATCTGGCCCTATCCTTACCCCTCCAAATCCCGATTGAATCAATCAGCACCCCGTGGTATAATTTGATTCCCGCCTAAAAAGTAGGGGTGCAGTAAGACATGAGATAGTGGAGGAGGTGGGGTCCTAATTGGTAGCTGAGGCGGGCCTAATAACATAGGAGGGGCATGACCACTACGGGTGGAATGATGATTCAAGGGGGGTAGAAAGGGTCCTCAGCTGTGTGGGTGGGTGGATGGATGAGAATCTGAGGGTGGGGGTGAGTGGTGTGGCGAAGGGGCAGGATGGCGAAGGGGAGGGCGGCGTTGGCGATGGCGGCAGTTGCGGTAGCTGCCGCTTTCGTGATGCTCTTAGCAGCTATTTCAGTTGTTCATCCTCATGATTCTTCTTTGCTCTCCTTTCTTGGTATCAATCTAGGAAGCTTCCCCCAGATGCAACCCGGGCAAGAGGCTCCCAGGTTACCTCAAGGGGATGATGTGAAGTGGATAAGCTTGGGTTACTATGGATCCTCTGACCTAGTTGGGAAGGGATTGGATCTGAAGAAACTTCAAAGCCAGGGAAAGAGCATCCTGCTTCACTTCTGGGACTATACATCTGTAGACAGTCTTGAGCTTGTGCCTGTCATGGAGCGAATCAATTGGAGATTCGCACCGTATGGATTGGTAGTGATTGGGGTCCACAGATCACGGTACAGGTTTGCGAAGAACAGCCTCTTTGTGAAGAATGCTTTTGAAAGACTTCGACTGAATTACGCGGTTGTGAATGATATCGATGGCGACATTACGAACGCTTTCGGAGCTCATGACATCAATACCATGTTCCTTATCAACAACGATAACAGCATCGTAGCAGTGAAGAGTGGATACCATGTGGGAAGCCAGATGGAGATGAACATCTGTCAGTACTTCTCCCGAACGAACCAAGGTATAATGTGCAATCCTCAATGGCCTTGGGGTAACTACTACGCGCAATGGAAGCAGAGTACCGTGAATGGGAAGCAGAATCTCTGGCTGGCAGCTGGAGGAGGCTATGATGGCAAGCGTTGCCATCAGGCTTCAAAAGATGTCTTTGTTGGAAACTACGTATCGGACAACTTGGGTCACACCTCCATCTACCCTGGTTCCCTGTCCCGTTATCAGCATGTCAATGCTGAATCACGGGGCGGTGCGTTCAAGGACCTGTCTGGAGTTCCGTTGGACGATGGCGCGTTTGCCCTAAGTGGTGAATGGGCCATGTTGGACCAGGGAAGAGAAGTGATGGGGAGCAAGGGCGGAGGGCTTGTTGACACCCACCTCCGAGTCCGATATCACGGTGACATGGCATACGGGTTGCTCGGACTGAAGAAGATAGAGCAATGGAAGGTTGATATGTGCACCGACGGAACATCTGGCAACGAGAAAGCTGGCTTGCAATGTAAGACGCAGTGCCGAGACGTTGCTGGGCGGTATGGTCCCTACGGGTATTGCCATACCAGTAAGGATTCGTGGGGTGGGTGCAAGCCATGCGAGCCTGTGCGACCTTCGAAGGTGTACTTGTTGCTGGATGGGTCACCTGTTCCTAAAGAGGTCGGCAGAGCTATTCTATCCATGACATGCTAGTGCTGATCTGTCTTTTGGCAGTCCCGTGGAGCTGATGTTGTGGAAGATGCTTTGGGAAGGACGTACGTCCCCGTCCTTGATTCAAGAATTTATTCTTTGATTTCTGAGTAAGTCTATGTTTTACTTGCCTGTCCTGTTGAAAGGCTTCGCTTCTTGTGTGCGAAGCAAGAAGTCTGATAGTATTGGGCGTGATTGATTCGTTTGGGTGCAGGAAAGCCATTTGGCCAAGGGGGCTCACTCTACTCCCTTCGGAAGAGGGAGTCGTATTCCATCAGTTTACATTCCGCGGAAATTGTTCACCAAGAATCTATAGAAGCTAACGGATTGCGAGATGCCTCGGTATTGACGGTCACTCAGCGCCGAGGAACTCAGATTGAAGCCTGCCTAGTCCCTTTGTCATAATGTAAAAAGCATAGCAAAACTAAAATCATGGAACCTGCTTCAAAGGGGTGACCAGGTACGCCGTCGGCGAGTCCGGCGCTCTGAGTCCGTGACTGAGTCAGGCTGGCGGCCCGACCGGGCCCCGGCGGCCCGGCGCAGCCAGTACTACGTAGTGCAGCAGAGTGCAGCAGTAATGAGGCAGATGGTCTAGGCGGGGATGGGGAGGAGGAATCATCGGGGACCCGGCCAGAACATGGATGAGCGAAGCGTGAAGGAAGACAGAGAGACAGAGGAAGGGAAGAGGAAGGAGGAAGAAGAGGAAGGAGGAGGAGAGACAAGAGGAGGCAGATGAGTCAAGGGGAGGCAAGAGGAAGGGTGAACTAATCAGAGCAAAGCCTTCACGCTCACAACACGGCATGATGAAAGAGAGGGAGTGAGATCAGGTGAGGACGGGGAGTTCTGGACAAGGATGAGACTCAACGTCCGTCTGTGCTCCATAGACTATCACATGAGCTATCCTGTGGAAGGCCTTGATGTCATCGAGTCGAGATACATGGGGGAGCGACTGCAGCGAGTTCCCATCCTCCGCATCTTCGGCATCACGAGTGAGGGGCAGAAGGCCTGCGTGCATTTACATCGGGCGTTCCCCTACCTTTATGTGCCTGTCCTCGAGCAATGGTGCTCGCTCGCTCCTGCTCAGCTTGATTCTCGGATCAAGCAGCTGGCAAAGAGCATGGACATGGCACTGAAGGAGCTCGATGCTGCGTCTTCCATGGATCAGGAGAGAGAAGGAGGCGACAGGGGACGGCGCAAGCCGAAGCAGCACGTGCTCAAGGCACAAGTGTTGAGAGGGACGCCATTCTACGGCTGCCACCTTTCCCAGCAGCTCTTCGTCAAGATCTACTTCATTGAACCTCCCGATGTCTCCAAGGCTGCCGGGCTCCTCCTGGGTATGAGGAGGTGGCGGGTTGTAAGGGCTTCCAACTCACAAGGTGTGGGCAGGAGGAGCGATCATGGGGACGGTCTTCCAGCCCTACCAGGCGCACATCCCATACATCCTGCAGGTCATGGCAGATCACAACCTGGTGGGAATGGGGATGATCGAGTTCAAGAGCGTCACCTTCCGCAGACCGTCACTGTCCAACGACAAGGAAGGTAGCAAAGACGTTGAGATCAGGAAGGGGAGGAGGCAGAGGAGCTCAAGAGGGGAGGGTGGAAGGAGAGGCAGCAGCTGTAGAGAAGTGATCAATGCGTGGCAGGGAGGGGGATCCTGACCGATCGATCTCGCGAGCTTCTCATGGGCAGGTGAAGGCGCTGGGAGAACCATGGTGTCACGTGACAGCGAGGCTGAGCAGGTGGTGCGACGCGCTGAACAAGCATCCTCTGTGGGTAGTGAACGGATGCGATCGGATGAGCGTGTGCGAGGTCGAGTGCGACGTGATGCTTGAGGACGTTCTCAATGTCGAGGTGAAGGCTTCTCCCGAGGCTCGCGCGGGGTGACGGTGACTTGGCAAGCAGGACATCGATTACAGTCAGATCACTTCCTTCGATCGGTCGGCTCCGCGCTTGTCTTTGTCTCCTCCGTCCCTTGGGCCCCACCTCTGATACCTTACCCTCTCCTCTCCCCCTCCTCCTTCCCCCCTCTCCTCTCCCCCTCTCCTTCCCCCCTCTCCTTCCCCCCCATCCTCTCCCCCCTTTCTTCCTGCCTTCTCCTCCTTCCTGCTGTCCCTCTTCTCATCTTGTTGCATTTGATATTCCCTGATTCTCTCTCTCTCTGTGTCTCCTTCCTTTCCCTTTCTTTGACCCATCCCCTTGCCCCCCCTTCCTACCATTTTCGTCGTTCTTCCCCCCCATTGTCCCCTGCAGGCACCGCAAGGTCGTACAGACCTTGTCCTACATCTGGCAGGACGTGCAGCAGCGCTACGTTCAACTCGGACGCGCTCCTCCTGACGACGAGACGCTGTCGTCCTCGCGCTCCAACAGCTTCTCCCCTCCTGAGATGGCTAAAGCTTTCCGGGAGAAGGTAGTCGGAGGAGGTGGGGAGGGCAACTTTGAATTGTGCACAGTTCCTCTCTCTTGCGGACAAAGATGAGAAGAAGGATGATGTTTTTGCTGCAGACAAGGTGGAGAGGAGGGGAAAGGAGTCGTGGGTGATGGCGAGGGAGGGAGGGGAAGGGAAGGAAGAGGAGAAGGTGGGAGGTGGGGAAAGAGGAGGAGGAGGATGACGAGGAGGAGGTGGGAGGTCCTCGCTGAATCAGCCTCAAGCGATTTTTGGATTATCTCCCTGCCTCGTCCACGTTCATGATGGACGCGAACGGATGTGACCCTGCTGACGAGTTCTTGCAAGGTGACCTAGAGAGGAGGAGCAGGAGCAGGAGCAGGAGCAGGAGCAGGAGCAGGAGCAGGAGCAGGAGCAGGAGCAGGAGCAGGAGCAGGAGCAGGAGGGAGTAGAGTGACGAGTCGGGGGGGATGACGCTGTGGGGACGACAGCGGAAGGGATCAGATTGGAGCTTGACGTCTCGCAATGAGCAGGAAACAACGAGGAGGAGGACGCGACGAAGAAGGGGGAGGGGAAGGAAGACCCCTACATCGACACGGAGAGGGTGAAGATCTTCTCTCAAATGTCTCAAATGTCCTCCGCAAAGGATACAAGCTCGCAGACGTTCTCGTCGGGGGACCTGGAGGTTCTTGGGGTGCTGGAGTGGATGCAAGCAGCTGATAGGGATGAGAAGGAGGAGGAGGAGGAAGAGGAGGAAGAGGACATCCTGAGTGCCTTGAACGAGGTCGAGGAGATCATCGCATGCACCCAGGGGGAGGAGCATGTCGGGCTGATGGAGGGAAATGGGAGGGGAGGACGATCGACTGGGGAGGAAGGGAGAGGGGAGCAGGAGCAGGAGCAGGAGCAGGAGCAGGAGCAGGAGCAGGAGGGGAGGAGCGGTCTAGATCAGCTCGACTTTGCTCTCTTCCCGCAGGTGGACGGGGCTGATGGTGAGAGCAGTGAAAGCTCGCGAGGTAAGCGGAGGAGGTGGAGGTGGAGAGCGAAGGTGCGGGCTGAGTTGCCAGCAGGGGGCAGCAGCGAGAGAAGGCATGCGCACAAGGAGAGGAAGCAGGCGATCTCGAAGCAGTCGGACCGCTCGAAGAGGCTTCTGCAGAAGGCGATGAAGCTGAGGGAGAGGGCCAAGGAGGCGAGAAAGGGCCTGCAGCTCGAGCTGTCGGTGAGGAGAGGAGGGTCGCCATGAGGGATGTTAACTCTTGTGTTGGATGCGTCAGAAGTCGATCGTGTTCGACGCGAGGCGCTCGCAGCAGAAAGAAGAGCCGTCGAGCTTGCAACGCCAACATGGCCAAGGCAAGACAGCGAGAATGATGATGATGATGATGATGATGATGATGATGATGATGATGATGATGATGATGATGAAGTCTTGGCCAGGGAGCTCCAAGGATTTCGCCTTCGCTACGTCAAGGAGAGTCCAGGTGTCGATAAACAGTATGATATAACTTCCTCTGTTTGACTCTCCCTGAGCAGACAGCAGCTGCTCCCTCCGCTCCACTTGCAGCTCGAGCGAGAAGAGAGGGAGACGTCAGCGAGTTCGAAGCTTCTGAGGAGGAGGAGAAGGTGGAGGAGGTGGAGAACCATGTTGTCGGCCCACATGGCAAGACGCTCACGGTACAGGAGGGTCCCGACATTGTCTTTGCGCAAGAGAGCGCGTCTTCGACGGGGAGGAGCTCACAATCGTCTGCCCCGCGCGGGGAAGCGATGGAAGTGGATGGCCAAGGAAGGAGAGCGGAGGAAGGGAGTTGGAAGATGTCAGGAGATGCCAAGGAGGACGAGAGCGAGCGGTTTTCTTCCTCCCCTGATCTGACGCAAAGGAGTTGCAGGACGAGGAGGGAGGAGCAAGTGGGGCAAGGGGAGGAGGAGGAGGAGGAGGAGGAGGAGGAGGGGACGAAGGTGGGGCAAGGGGAGGGAGAATGGATCGAGAATGTTGGAATAGAGGAGGAGGTGATTGTTGGGGACGACGATGGAAACCAGGATGATGTGGCTATGAATGAGACCGCAGCATGTCGACACGATGAAGTAACGATGAGGGTGATGGACGATGAGGAAGAGCATGAGAGAGGGGAGAGCAAGTCTGTTGACGACGATGAAGTGATGAGAGCTGTAAGAGGACGAGGAGTTGGTGATGAGCACATGAAGGAGGAGGAGGAGGAGGGAGCAAGCAGCATGGCTTCTGCCCAGTTGTCTTCTTCCTGCTTCGTCAGAAAATTCGCGATTCCTCCTCCCTCCAAGTACGAGCTGCTCCAGAGAATGAGCGACCTTGGCATACCTGAGGTGATAACGGGAGAGAGGAGACGGTGTGCGGGAGGAAGGGAGGGAGGGAGGGAGGGAGGGAGGGAGGGAGGGAGGGAGGGAATGCTGACGAGGGGCAGGTGGTGCACGAGGAGCCTTTCTATGGTCGAGAGGAGGATGTTCCCAGCGAGGCTGTGAGATTCGCCGGCAAAACTTTCAGGCTGAAAGCGAAGACAACAAGGCACCTCGAAGAATTTCACTCCCTTGTGCGCGGATCGCTCAAACCCCCTGAAGGTAGGGAGGAGGAGGAGGAGGAGGAGGAGGAGGAGGAGGAGGAGGAGGAGGCGGTGTTGGTGGAGCAGCAGCAGCAGCAGCAGCAGCAGCAGCAGGATAGAAATGCTGATGTCTCTGTCCTGTGAGCGTTTGATTTTTCTCCTTTCTTTCCCGTTGCCTCACCTCGCCTTCTCTTCTCTCCTTTCTCTTCCTGTGGATTGTTTCTCCTCACATCGCACGCGTCTCAAACGTTTCTCTGCTCTTGTGCTGCCTCTTCCAACCTCCTGTTGACCTTTTGACTTCCAGAAGCAGCAGCAGCAGCAGCAGCAGAAGGAGTGGATCTTTTCTCCGACGCAGCAGAGAAGAAGCTTTACATCTACAGGCCCACGAAACCTCCGCCCGCCAAGAAGGCGATCGAGAGGCAGCTGAAGAGGAGGAGGAGGCAGGTGGAGGAAGGGAAGAAGATGTTTGAGAGCGCTCAATCGCACATCGACAGCTACGGGAGACTCTGCGTTCGCTCCTCCTCCTCCCTTGACAAGTCCTCCTCCTCCCTCCTGGACAAGTCCTCCTCCTCCCTCCTGGACAAGACCTCCAAACCTCCCTCCTGCCCGGAGGACGAGAAGCCCAAGGACGCGGGAAGGAGGGAGCAGGAGGAGGTGGTGGTGGAGCAGGGGAGCTTGCAGAGGAGAGCGGGTGAGCAGGAGGAAGGGATCGGCTCCCAGAGACGAACGGCCCCGTCCATCCGGGATCTTGTGGAGGGTGGACGTCCGCCGTCCCCCCGTTACGACGAGAGCTTTCTTCTCAACGCCTCCTATGCCTGCCCCACAGGCTGGGTGCTCGGAGCAGACGACCCCGATCATATGACTGAGGGAGAGGAGGAGGAGGAGGAGGAGGAGGAGGAGAGGAGGAAACTGTCAGCTGAGAGTGGAGGACGATCGTCAGAGGCGATAGGAGGAGGTGTCGATGCAAGCAGGAGCCGTTCAGACAAGAAAGTTCGATGGTCCGGTAGCGATGACGAGGGAGAAACGAGCACACGGAACAAAGACCTGGATGGAGTTTACAAGCTGACGCTGCTGAGCTTGGAAGTTCACTGTGAGGTGAGAAGTTGAGAAGGGAGAGGAAGGAGAGAGGAAGAGAGGAGAGGAAAGGAGAGGGCAGGGTAGCGCAGGGGGAAGAGAATTTCTAGGGAGAAGAGATAAGATCAAAGGAGGAGGAAGAGGAAGAGGAGGAGGAGGAGGAGGGGAAGAGCGCAGCAATCTGACTGTGAGGGGATCAGGTGAGAGGAAGCCTTCTCCCCGACCCGAAGCATGATGCTGCTCGAGCCATCTGCTACGTCATTGCATACGAGGATCGTCCGCAAGAGAGCAAGTATCACAGCGGCGTGCTGCTGTGGCTCGCGGAGCCGCTGAGCAGCTCCGAGGTCGCGCTGCCCATACACGTCAAGTGTACCGTTCTCTCCTCGGAGAAGGAAATGTTCGAGGCCTTCGAGCTGCTGGTGCTTCGCCCTCCCCCTCCCTCCCTCCCTCCCTCCCTCCCTCCCTCCCTCCCTCCCTCCTCCATCGCATCTTCAGCTTGCACACACCCATCACCATTCGCTCATCTCCTTCCTTCTTACTTCAGCTGCTTTTCTTTCCCGTTCTCAACTCTCGTCTCCTCCAACTTTCTATCGCCCTCGCACCTCCCCTTCCTCCCCCTCTCCCTCCTCTCACCTTCCCTTCATCAATCTTCCTCCTCTACTCCAGCCTCGCTCTCTCTCACCTCGTCGTCCAGCTGCGGGATACTGACCCCGACATCCTCGTCGGCTTCGAAGTTCAGCACGCGTCCTGCGGTTACCTCCTCGAGCGATCAGCCGCTATCGGGTTCCCCCTTGACCGCTGCCTCTCCCGCTGTCCCTTCCACCGCAGCACTCTAGAGTCTCGACCCGACACCTACGGCCAGCAGCAGCAGTCAGGCATCCACGTCTGCGGGAGGGAGATTCTCAACGTGTGGCGATTATGCCGGCAGGTGGGGAGAGGAGGCGGAGGAGGGAAGGAGGGGAAGGACGGGAGAACGAGGAAGGGGAGGAGAGGAGGAGGAGGAAGGAAGGAAGAGAAGAAGGGTGAATGTAGAGGAGGGAGGAGGGGATCTGAACGTATCATCCAGGAGATCAAACTTGGTCTGTACAACTACACCAACGTCTGCGCTAAGGTGCTGAACAAGAGGGTGCCATCCTTTCCTCCTCAGCTGCTCCATTCATGGTTCCAGTCCCAAGAGGAGCATGTGGCAGCCACGAGCAAGGCTGACCCCGACGGGAGCTCAGTGGGAGGCGAGAGCAGGAGGCACCTTGCCTCCCCGCACAGTCTGAAGCGGCAGGTCCTGCTCTACCTCCTTGAGAAGGCCAGCAACACGCTCCTCATCCTCGAAGCCATGGAGCTCGTCGGCAGGACCTGCGAACTTGCGCGCGTCTTCGGCATCGACTTCTTCTCGGTCCTCAGCCGCGGGTCCCAGTATCGGGTAGAGAGCATGCTCTACCGCCTCGCTCGCACGCAGAACTTCCTCCTCCTCTCTCCCTCCGTGCAGCAGCGGCAGAGCCAGCCAGCCACGGAGTGCATCCCGCTGGTGATGGAGCCGCAGAGCGCCTTCTACAGCAGCCCCGTCTGCGTCCTCGACTTCCGGTCCCTCTACCCCTCTGTCGTGATCGCCTACAACATGTGTTACTCCACCTGCCTCGGCAAGCTCGTCGAGCCCGACAGCGACGGCAACGTCAAGCTCGGCGTCTCCAGCCTCCGCCGCGCCCCCGGCCTGCTGGCGAGCGTGCGAGAGGAGGCGATCATCACTCCCAATGGCATGGCGTTCCTGCCGCCCGACAAGCGCGAGGGGGTGCTGCCTCGTCTGCTGCGAGAGATCCTGCAGGCGAGAGTGGCGGTGAAGAAGTTGATGAAACAGGTCGGGGGAGACGTGAAGCTCTACAGGACCCTCAACTCCAGGCAGTTCGGCCTCAAGCTCATCGCCAACGTCACCTACGGCTACACCTCCGCCGGCTTCTCCGGCCGCATGCCATGCGCCGACTTGGCCGACGCCATCGTGCAGACGGGGCGAGAGACGCTGGAGCGAGCGATCCGGACGGTAGAAGAGGGGAGGCAATGGGGGGCGCGAGTGATCTACGGGGACACAGACAGTCTCTTCGTCGAGATCCCTGGGAGGTCGCGAGAGGAAGCGTTTCGCATCGGCAGGGAGATCGCTGCTGCGGTCACAGCTGAGAACCCTGCTCCGATGGAGCTGGAGCTGGAGAAAGTCTATCAGCCGAGCATGATGGTGGCCAAGAAGCGCTACGTGGGGTACAGCTACGACTCTCCTTCCTCCAAGCCTGTCCTCGACGCCAAGGGCATCGAGATGGTGAGGAGAGACTCGTGTCCGCTGGTCATGAGGGTGCAGGAGAAGGCGCTGAAGGTGCTGTTCGAGACGAAGAACATCTCCAAGCTCAAGAGCTACATGGAGGGCGTCTTCATGGACATCATCGCCTCCAACTTGAACATCAACGAGTACGTCTTTGCGAAGGAGGTCAGGCAGGGGACCTACGCCTCTTCCACCCTCCCCCCTGCCGCCACTGTCAACGCAACCAAGGTTCTCCGAGACCCCCGAGCGGGAGCTCTGCATGCCGAGAGGATCCCCTACGTCGTCGTGTGCGGCCAGCCAGGAGCGCGTCTGGTGGACCTCGTCCTTGACCCGCGCGAGCTCCTCGCCTCCTCTGGGATGCTTCGGATCAACGCGCAGTACTACATCACCAAGGCTCTGATCCCCTGCCTCGAGCGCCTCCTCTCCCTCTTTGGTGTCGACATACGGCGATGGTACCTCGAGCTCCCACGCTACAGCCGCGCAAGGTCCTCCTTCAACTCCTCTCCCATCCTCCTCTCCTCTCCCATCCCCCCCCCTCCTCCTCGTCAATCCCTTTCTTGCCCTCCCTGACCCTTTCCTCCTCCTCTCCCACCTCTCCCTCCTCTCCCTCCTCTCCCTCCCCTTCCTGCCTCTCCCTCTCTCCCTTCGTGACTCCTGCATGGCAGACACTGTATACGTGCCATGGCAGAGACTATGACAGGGTTGAACGCGCGGAGCTCGAGGGACCACGCTTCTCATGAAGGCAGCATCCGGAGTCACTTCCAGAGCATGCACTGTATCCTCTGCGACCAGCTCTCCAGGTGACGCTCCTCCTCCCATGACCGAGCTCCTCCTCCTCTCTTGCTCCCCGCGCTCATCTCACCTGCGGCAGGACGGCCGTCTGTGCGGAGTGCACTTCCCTTCCTCAAGTGGCTCTGTGTACGATGCAGAATCGTCGGGGGAGGGTGGAGCGAGATCTTGCCCGGCTCTGCAGGATCTGCGTGAGTTGTGTAGGGAGCATGCGGCTCGTGACAGGGTGCGACGCGGTGGACTGCCCGGTGCTCTACGACCGCGTGAAGGCGCAGCAGCTGTGGGAAGCATCGAGTCGCATAGACTGGGGCGTGAACTTCTTGGAGTGGTGAAGGGGAGGAGGAGGAGGAGGAGGAGGAGGAGGAGGAGGAGGAGGAGGAGGAGGAGGATGTTGTAACGTAGAGAGAGGAAGATGAACTTTCATCGACCAAACACACAAGTTTGATCTCATCAGTTCTGCTCACTTCACTTTCCCACGATCGGACCGTACACTTGTAGTGCACGTTTCGAGCTGCCCGCCGCGGTGTCCGGCCCACGGGTGGCCCCCCGGTCACTGAGTAGCACCGGCGTGACTGGCTCCGCCGGAGGGTGACCGGGTGACGGTCGGAGCGAGCTGACTGAGCTGAGCCGCGCGGGGCGGCCCGGCGGGCCGCGTGGTCGGACAGTACTACGGTACCGTACAGTACTAACCCGCGCCCCTCACTCCGTGTCTTTGTAATCAAAACTCAACTTCAACGGGGTTCACTCCCGCAAGACTGACATTGACACGAGCGTTCCCTTGAACCGGGCCACAGGCTTTGGCAGTCACTCTGCTCAGTCACTCAAGTTGTCTCAATTCCTTGTCCATACTCCCGGGCCGGGCCTCGCTCGGAGTCCGTCCGGGCCTTCTCTCTCCGAACTACTGAGTCCGGAGTCTGAGGTCCCGGAGTCCGGCCGCGGCATCTTTTCCTGTACGGGGTCCTAGGCCTTCCTCAGGGGGGTGTTGCGGCCTGCGAGGCTGGGGGTCCTGAGAAGGACCAGAGCGGGGAGGAGGGCAATAAATTCTAGAGACGATGCGAGCGCAGGCTCGACAGCTGAAGCTCACATTGAGCTTCTCTTGCTCCTCCTCCTTCTCCTCCTCCTCATGCTGTGGCTGGTTATACTCCTCCTCCTCCTCCTTCTCCTCCTCCTCCTCCTCCTCCTCCTCCTCCTCCTCCTCATCATCATCATCATCATCATCATCATCATCATCATCATGGTCATTATCTGCTTCACCTGCATCATCAAGATCTACCCATCCTTTCCCTTGTGCATATTCTTGTCTCGTTTCGTTTCCTGCTGATCCCGTTTGTTATCTCCCTCGATTCTCCTTCATATCTGTGAACTCATGTGAAACAAACAACTCCCTGTCTTCTATGTCAAGTCCGCTCCCCCGAGCATGTAATTTTGGCGCCTTACTTTCTCAGCCTACTCATCGTGGCGGAAGTGCGGTGAGATTCCTGCAGAAGGCGTGTAGCCCCTGGAAGGCGTGTAGAGCTCTCCACGTGTCAGGAAGCCAACTGAAGCCCCAAGACGAGCCCTCAAAGGCGATTCCTCGTCGCTCCTTCTCTCTGCTCAGGTTGCTCTCGAGCTCGTGGGTTCAGCTGCCTGCTGGGGTAGCCCTGGGCATCGGCATCGGCTATTCTCTTCCTGCCCTCTTGTCCTCCCCGAGCTCTTGCGTATCCTTGGCAACTGTTGGGCTAGGTGTTGTCGCCATGCAGGATCGACGCCTGTCCTCTCGAATGAGGCGATCGCTGTTTGTGAGAGCTGCAGTCCGCCTGTTACACCGCCTGTCCTACAGCAGCGTCTGCTCGAGCAGCCCCCTGATCGCCACGTGCATCTGGTACCTGCGCAATGGCTTCCATGCTAATCACTGGCTACGAGATGACTCCGACTACCTCCGCCCTCTGGTCTCCTCCATCCTACAGAGGCGGCAGCATGTCTTCTCCCCTACTGCTCAGTTCACACTTGGGCATGCGATCTCGGCAGAGGAAGTGACGGAGCTCGGCGACAGGAGGCTCAGACTCATCTACGCTGTGCTGCTCCCTCCGACGGAAGGAGAGAAGGCCGAGGGGGAAGACGCACCGGGGGATGCTGAGGAGACGCGGAGAGAGGAAGGCGACGTGAAACTGTATGTGATCGCAGATGGCAACTCTCGTCTGCCCAATCCTCTCTCGGTCGCTCTAGTCAGCGACAAGGGATGTTGGCAGCTCATGGGCAAGTCCGAAGATCTAGCGATACGTGATGCATCCTACATACAGTTCGGAGACCTCACGTCTAAGAGGTGGGATTCGCTGGACCAAGAGAGCGAGAAGTCAGGAGATGCTCAAGACAAGACCATGGAAAAGAAGGGAGATTGAGTTTCATGAGATTGGATCTCCTGCAGAGAATGCTCAATTATTCTTGAATCATCTCTGATATCTGACAAATAGACATTCCTTTCATTACTTGCTTAATTCCGACATGTCCACTTAAAGTACAATGTACACCATATTCCAGAGCTTTGCACAGAAGATGCAGCTTTTATGAGGTTACCGAGCATACTTCGCTCGAAGTGTATCCCTGCGAGGTCAGGCTCCGATCGCTCTGCTCCCCGTCAAGCTGACTGTAGTTGATCTTGATAGAGCAGTCCATGTGAGACCGCGGCGTCGAGCCTTCCGCCCACAACTTGGGGACTTGGACCTTGGAGGCGATCTCCGTCTTCCTGATCAAATCCATCTCGGCAAAGAAAGGATGGAGGTCTGAGAGGTTCACTGCTTGGGGAGATGTTGGGTGCTCATCACCCTGTGCAGGCGAGTTCTGACTTGACTCATGGAACGAGGATGATTCTGATAGTCGTGCCATCGTCAGGAGCTTAGTCAACCCGTTTCCTCCCTTGATTGGACTTGATGTCTTGACATGGGCCCTGTCAGCTCCGTTTGGATCCAATTGACTCTGGCCATTCAACATAGGCTGCTTCTTGTCGCTCGTCGAAGGTTTGGGATCTTTCTGATTCATCTGCTGCTTCGATGCCGAGTCGACTTCTGAGCGGAGGGGTTTATGAACTTCTGAACTTATCTGCCGGATGCCTCCGTTTAAAGCCTTCTCAGAAATAGGAGCATGTTTCTTGCCCGACGATTTTCTGGAACGATTGTTTGGTCGCTCGTTCCCCTTCATTCCGTTGATGCACTTGGATGGCGCCTGCGTTTGTTCCGCACCATTCTCAGACAGAAGCTTCAGCAGCGAATCATGCTTCGACGGCAGAGGTTGAGATCCATCCACATCATCTTCTTCGATTGGCAAAAATTTCTCGTTTTCCTGGAATCGCCTGTGAGAAGAGTAGAACGGTTCCTTCAAACAATCAAAATCTGATCGAGGGGCATGAGGCTTCGCCATTGGAAGAGTTGATCTCCGCGACTTCACTCTCATAGCCCCCGCTGTCTGCAAGCTCTCTTTGTAATCTTGTTTCACCTGCCAACAGGCTTAGTTTCAACCAAACAGTCAAAAAAAATGAACCTCAGCAACACCTGATCCAGTTCCTGTAGCATCTCTCTGACAGGGCAAGCAATTTTGGATGTCTGATTTTATCGTCTTCATGCTCTTTGACTTGGAACGAGATGGAGAAGTCGGCAGAAGGGCCTGTTTGCTGCTCTCTGGCGGACTGCTAGGATCGTTGGGGTTGAGCGAATGAGTCGATCTTTCACTCGACTTCTTCTCCTCATGCGGACTAGAACCATCTTCAGCCACTTGTGATGCAAGCGTCGACGTCTCATCTGCAGAGGTCATCTCGTTACGGAGATTGCTTTTTGAATTCGCTTTGTCTTCCGCTGATTCACCATTCTGCTTCAAGGTCTGGCTGAGCCAACTAGAGGACTCACGCATGGAAGGAGGATTCTTCGTCCTCTCCTCATTGTCTGTGCTGTTCACAGAGCTAGGAGCACTCAAACCCTGATCGTCTCCGGAGAAAAGTCTCGGTTGCAAATTGTCGAGTACGCTCGCCAATGCTGGACCGTCAAGTTGGCAGGAAAGTGCGATAGACGCCAGTTTGTTCAAACCAATCGACCTCAGGAGAGTTGCTGCCTCGTTGGGATTCTCACATGACCACAGCTTGCATCCGTCCTGCTTTGAAGATGGCTTTTTCCGCGGGAATAAGCAAGAGATCATGTTGACAAGTACTTGATAGAAGAACACACAAATGAATGTGAGCCTCAAACTTCTTCCTTAGTGCAATGCCTCATGAGCCCTGTGAGCCTCATGCACAAGAAGACACTTGATTGGATGAACGGAACCATTGGTGGATCTGCATAATTTGCAACAAATACATCAGAACAGGCCATCGAGACATTCCTCTTTGCTTGAAAGATGCCTCTAACTCAATGAATCTTGTTTTTCTCACTGCTGTTGCAATGTCGTTTTGCACTCCTCCCTTGAACGTGAAACAGTGCTCGCTAGCCTACGCCACTTCTCCACCGAACCTTCAAACTAATCTTCTGTCATACATAGCACTTGAGCCTCCTTGCTGCTCCTGCCCCTGAAAAGTGTCTCCATAAACTATTCCTGCTTCCCTGTTCCCGTAAACATGCCGCGTGGGATCTCACGTCATTGAAACGCATCAGTTCATTGCTAACTTCCTGCTTCTCCTTTGCTCCACTCTGTCTCCTCTTTCTCATTCTCTTCCTCGTTTTCTTCGCCGTTTCTTTCCCTCCTCCCTCCCTGGCATGGCCGCGCCTCAAGTACAAACAAGGCGGGAAGTGGGTGCGACGAGGGGTGGGGTAGAGTGTAGGGTGTGGTTGTCGGAAATGCCTGAAGAATGGGGTAGGGGGTTTCAGTCGGTGGTCAATTTTTGAGGGTGCCACGGGGTGTAATTCACAAATCGGAGGGTAGGGTACTATTGTTGTTCATGGGGTCATGTAAACACTTTGACCAAGGGAAATTGTAGGGGTATTTACATGGGTAAAAGGTGGTAGGGGTACACAATCGCACCAAAAATCTCAATTTATGGGTGGGTGGTGTTGATCAATCATGGGTGGGGGTTAGGATCATATTCTGTCTGTGGGGTAGGTAAAGTCGAGGAGGGGGATGGTAAGATTGAGGATCAAACATGGGGTAGGGTACTTCATTCCCCCCGGAATGGGGGTAGGCAAGAATGGATGTAGCTATTACGAGCACCCCTGTTTTGACTTCGAAATGAGGGGTGGGTGTCTTACGACATTGTTGCGCAGGGTGGGGATACTTTTGAAGATGGTTCAAAGGGTGGGGTTATGGAATATGTAGGGTAGGGTACATACAACACTTTACTGACCCATCGATTCTCCTAAATTGAAAGCAGAAAAGACTAGGTGGGGTTGTAAGGAGAGGGGTAGAGAAGAATTGGGGGAGAAGGAATTCTTCGAGTAGGGGGTAGGGCTTAGAGTGCCTTCGAAAACACGGGTAGGGGGTGGAAAGTTTGAGATAGGGTAGGGTAGGGTAGGCAACAAGGCAAAAAGTGTTTGAAATTCAACAAGGTTATGAGCTATCATTTTTTTGTCTTCAGTTTTACAAGATCTTTTTTTCGTCACCCAGGCAGGCCCGCCGAAGTATTGGGGAATAAAAGGAGGAGAGGGGAGGGTTAGGGTGCTGTTTGGATCGGAGTAGAGCAGGGTAGGGGTCATTTGTACCTGGAAGTTGGGGTAATTTTACGGTATAAGTTCGTGGTAGGGTGGTCAAATGGATTGAAAAGGGGGGGTAGGGGTATTCATACTGGGGTGATGACAAACGAAACTCTCCGACAGCAGTACTACCCCTACCCTCATCTTTTGATAACCCTTGGACTACCTTTAAGGGTTTTGTGATGATAACCCCTACTTTTCGCTATATTATCAGTATCTCAAGGAGGGTTAAGTAACACCCCTACCAACAAATGATATCACCCCACCCTGCTGATAGAGTCTTTCCCCAGCTCTTCCTCATGTTTTCCCTCACCGTACGTGCCCGGCAAAGGATCGACACCATTGCGAGCTTCTCCCTCCTCTCTCCCTCTCTCCCTTCTTACTCCCGACCCTCTGCCTTCTCCCTCTGGCCTGCCGCTCCCTTGACGTCCTTAGCGCACTTTCGATAGCAGAGCCCAGGCCTTCCTTTCAACTAGTGGTGTCGCGCCATTGTGCCAGCTGTCTGCCTGTAATCTGTGAGTATCGACAAGATGGAAAGCATGGAATCGAGCAACGCTCTCATCATCTCCATCGCACCTATCATCGGCATCATTTTCAACAATATTCTTCTCCTTGCACACATTCCCACCATCCTCGCATGCCGCCGCAAGGGAACGCTTGGCGAGGTGAACCCGATGCCTTTCCCGCTCATAGTAGCCAACAGTCTTTCCTGGTGCTTCTACAGCGTCTGTTCTCGGGATCCTCTCGTCTTCTGCGGGAACTTTGGGGGCTGCATATCAGGCTTGTGGTACTACAGCTCAGCTTTGCAGCTAGCCGACGCCCCGACGCGGCTGCGGGTGGAGACGACGTTGATCGTTCTCGTCTCCGTCGTCGGGCTGACGGGGTTCGCAGCATCCATGGTGCAGGATGTGGTGGCTGCTAAGAGCTTAATCGGGTACATCTCCCTCGGAACCGTCTTCTTCCTCTTCTCCAGCCCTCTCTCTACCGTCGTAGAGATTGTCAACAAGAAGAACGCGGACTCGATCAACCGGCCCTTTGCGTGCGCTCAGTTGATGAACTGCCTGTCATGGTTGGTGTATGGACTGATGGTCAACGATCTCTTCATTGCTCTTCCTAACATCTTCGGCATCGTCATGGCCATCACGCAAGGTCTGTTGATTGTTGTCTTCCCTCGCCGCAGTGAGCATCCTTTGCTGCACACGGACAAGCCCTCTTGGACCAGCGACGCCAAGGTCCCCACGAGCGACTTGGAGGTCGAGAACGGGTCGTGAAGGAGAAGCCTCCCCCGCCATCGAGTTGTAGTTGTTTCGTCTCACCAGAGCTACCTGCATCTCTGTTGGTGTGGTCAAGATTTTCCGATGAGATGCCTGCAGCAGGGTTTCAGCAGTTTTTGTACAGAAAGTTTTGAGGAGAAACCTTCCTCCACCAGCGCTGGAAGTATTGACCTTCATCGCGTTAACTGCAGGCAGTACGTCTCTTGTATTTCTTCCATCCTTCGTTTGATACTCTCCGCCTCCTTGTACTTGCTGTGAACATAAAGTCACCAGCCTCTGTCGCACTCACAAGCTTCTCACCCGATCCTTATGAGCGTGCGGTGATAGACGTCTGAAAGCTGCAGCTCGACTTTCTGCCTTGGCATGTCAGAGATCAAGCAAGTGACGCAGTCAGCGTTACCAGCGCTGTGTCCCAGAACGCTCCCTCGTTGGTGTCCACAGACGAGTAAACGGATCTGTCCCAAGCATGTCAGGGAAGTTAGCCATGCGGGTGTTCAGGCAGGGCGACTTGAGAGCATCGCGTCCATCCATGAGCGTGTCCTCGACCTCTTGCATGTCGAAAGTGGACATTTCCAGCATCAGCCCTCCCATGGAGGCAGCGAAACAGGCTCGGAGGACTGAGTTGGACGGGGAGAGGAAGGGGGCAGACGAGCGGGAGAAGGTGAAAGAGGCTGGTGAGGGCTGAATGAGTTTGAAGCCTGCGGGTATCAGGCGCTATCACGTCGAGGATGTGGAGTCAAGACCTTGGCGGAATGTCTTGAGCGCCTTGTTGAGCTCTCCCAACCGCCTATGAGGAGGTGAGATGAAATCGGGGTGGTGGAAGCGAGAGGAGGAGCGAGATAGAGGAAGGTTGAGAAGAGGGAGGGGAGGGGAAGGGGGAAGGAGGGAGAGGGAGGGAAAGGAAGACTGTTTCAACCTGTAAACTTCTCCAAGTCTGAGGAGGATCCGGGCCAAATCCTCTGGATCAATTCTCTCTGCTCACAACGCGAGTCAGCCATGCAGAGCTCGCGCGGCCGTACGGGAGTCAGCTCACCATGACACAAGCGGTGGACGGTCTCCTCCAAGATCTTGGCAGCATGAAGGTCCTGCTCCCCATCCTCCCTCTCCTCCGCAAGTCTGGACATGACCTGGACGAACTTGGAGGGGGAGGTCTTCACTTGGAGGTAGTCCATCCACAGATCGTCGTAGTTGATAGCGTACTGGCTCATCTCAAGCGTCCAGCAGACGTTGGCCATCTCGAACAAGATAACGCACTCCACGTCCGTCATCTCGTCCAGCGCCACGCTCTTCAGCTCCCTCCTGCCGTCCCCGTGCACCTCCAGCTCGAACATCAGCGTCGCCTCCAGCCCCCCCTCCTCCTGCTCCAAGTTCTCCTCCCCCGTCACCACCTCCAGCGCAAAGTTGAGCACCATGAGAGCCTCCACGAGTCGCCCGTCGCTCCTCAGGCCGTTGGACAGGCAGAGAAGGGCCTCGCACTTGTCCTTCACCTCCATCCCCAGCATGCGCCCGAGCTCGAACGCCCTCCATGCCAGCTGGATGCTGCTGGAGAGCTTCCCGTTCTCTCGGCAGGTCCTCGAGAGGTTGAGGAGCAGGTCGCGCATCATGGGGTGATGGTTCGACTTGAGCTCAGCCCAGCCCTGCACGGAGAGGTAGAAGTTGTGCTCGGCCACGTCCAAGAGGTCCACACACACGTGCAGCCAGCCGATGGCCTGCTGGACGAAGACCATGGCATGCTTCCTCCTGCTGCTGGATGCGATGAGCTTGCAGGCCTCCTCGGCCTCGCTGATCAGGTCCCTTGCTCGCTCCAGGTTCCTCTCTGCTCGCAGCTGCCGCGACGCCTCCATCAGCAGCTTGTACCACCTCTGCCATGGAAGTCAGGAAGAGACAAGAGGAGAGATAAGCTCCCATGCTGGGGATCACCTTGCTCCTGTCGGCTGGTCGCCATCTCTCGAGCAGCTGCTCGAAGGGGCGGAGATTCTTCCACTCGACGAAGAGGAAGTGGATCTTGTTGCAAGAGAGCTCGTCGCTGATCTCGCACTCCTCCTCCTCCTCCTCCTCCTTCTCCTCCTCTGCTGTTCTATCGTCATCGATCTCCTCCTCCTCCCGCTCCTCTCGAGAGAAGCTTGTCAGGAGCTCTGCCACCCTGCGCCTGTTGAGTAGCAAGACGAGGGTGGACGCGACGAAGGCAGGGATAAGCACACGCAGAAGCCGCATGTTGCGGTCAAGACATGAAGGGAGGGCAGCGCTCAGAGGAAAGATGAGGAGCGGAGGGGGAGGGGGAGGGGGAGGGAGGGATAGAGGCGGACTGAGACGAAGATGAAGACGGGAGGGGAAGGGGGGGAGGGGTTGGTGAGGGAGGGGACCTGGTGGGACGAGGGGTCAGGGAGCGGGAAGGCCGTCAAGGGGGTAAAAGGGGTGCGGGGGATATTCGGAGAGAAATGAGTCGCAAAGGTTAGGGGGAAAGGGGGCGAGGAGCTCCAGAGGAGAGCGGGGAGAGGAGGAGGAAGAGGAGGACGGTGGGAGGCACAGAGGAGGAAAGGAGAGCCCGGGGCAGGGGCAGGGGCAGGGGCAGAAGCAAGCAGGAGCAGGAGCAGGAGCAGGAGCAGGAGCAGGGTCAAGGTGGTATATCAGTTTACTTGCTCGGTAGGTTTGTTCGGTTCAGCAGCCGATGGTTCGCTCGGCTGCTCTGCGGGGTCGGAGATCTTCTCCTGCTGCCTCCTCTTCCGGATCTTCCGCACAAACGTGCTCCACTTAAGCTGCCCCCTCCTTGAGTTGACCTTTGTGTCATGGTTGACCCAATGGTAGAACCGCTCCTCGTGCGCCATGAAGATCGCCTTGGCCCGTTCCAGCGTCGGGCTCTTCTTGAACAGGTCCAGCTTCTCCTTCTCTGCCGCCTTCTTCTCCGCGTCTTCTATCTCCTCCACCTCTTTCTGCACGAACTTGTCGAACGTCTGCACAAGGAACCGCAGGTCGCTCAGTCGCCTCTCCTGCTCTTTGCCGGCCATCCCGTCGGGCTGCAAGAAGCGGAAGGGGGGGTAGCCTTTCGATCGGTTCCCGCAGAACCAGAGCGTCCATGCTTGCGCAGGCGTGCTGAGCTCGTCCGTTAGCGTCATGTTGTCTGGGAATGTCATCGGCCACTCTGCGCCTGCCGCCCCGCCGCCCTCCTTCCCGCTCCCCTTGCCGCTTTCGTTCACCACCTTCAGAGTCTTCTTTTCTCTCATCGCGACTTGAGCTCCCGGCGATGGCGCAGCTTCTGCGGGACCCGCTCCCTGCTCTGCTGCCGACGCCAAGGTGGAGGAAGTTTGGCTGACCTCTCCATCCTCGTGCAGGTTCACAGTCGGGCAAGGGGCAATGGCCTGTCTCTTCCAGTACTGCATCTCTTCCTTGACCTCCTTCAGCTCCTTCTTCAGCTCACGGAGCTCTTCGATGATCTTCTGGTTGAACACGCTCTGAACGATCGGGTGCGGAGTCCCAAGCGCCTCCATGAGCATGGAGCCGTCGGGGACGCTGCAGGTCACGCGCCCCTTGAGGCTCTCGTAAATCTTCACATCGAGGAAGACAAGGCTGCTCCACAGCGGGTGGTTGTCGTTGAGTGACCTCTTCAGGAAGGGCTCGTGGTATACCACAGACGCCAGGCATTGCTGTGCAATCTTCTTCATGCCCGCAGGAAGTGTTGGGAAACAAAGCTGAATCGCTGTTTCCACCTGCTCGTCCTCCACAGTGAATCGAGGAGGAAAGAGCACATGCTTGGTATGAAAACCGCCATGATGCAACAAAGAGCCTTTCTTGATCTGTCAAGGAGCATGGAAGTGGTCAGCGCAGGTCAGACAAGGTAGAAGACACACACCGAGTAAGAGCCCATGTCCTTAGGTTCCAATCCCAACCTCTTGAGCACAGCGCTGACTTCTTTCTGCACCATGAGAAGGCTCTTGTCCGACCTCGATGCACCATGCCCGGACGAGCTTTCATCGGGGGTTAAAACTCTCTGCAGGCCTGCGAGAAACCTGTGATACTGATGGGAGCCAGGAAAGAGCTTTTGCTCGTCAGGCGTGTAAGAAAGGAAGTAGATTCCGAGAGCAAGGAAAGGACAAATCTCTGGCATCAAAGGATTTGCGCAGATTCGGTAGCTGTCCCTGGCTTGATTCGATTGATCCTGGTTCTTAAGATGCCTGCATTCTATGCACATCAGCTCGTCCTGCCAGGACAATTGATCGTATTTGATCTCATCCACCTCGACTGCTTGATAGCTCAGGTTCCATGAGACAATCAGGAACGTCCGTGTGAACAACATGTCCAAAGTTTTGCAAAGCAACAGCTGCTCGCACAAAACTTTGTAGAGAGTGAAAGGCATTGGCTCTTTGCCAGCCGACTTCCGTTTGACTACTCCAAGCTCACCAGCATTGGGATTGTCCGTGGTAAGGCCTTGGAGTTTCCGATAGAAGTTGGAGATCATCGGTTCAATCCTACCATAGTACGACATGCTGTCGGACTCCCTGTAGATGTGTTTGAGGGCTGAGCGCATAGAGTTGTAGGTAGAGAGCTGAATGTCGGGCTGCGTCTTCAACGAGTCCACAATGAAGTCGATGAAGTCATCAGCCCTGAAGCGATCGACTTTGATGGGGAACACATTGTCGTCAAGAAGTTTGTGGATGCTCTTCACGATCGGCAGCCCCTCTGCAGTGAACTCGAGCCCTTCCTGAAACTCGTCGGTCAAGATGTCTCGTCGATACCTCCACATCCAATGCAGCATCTTCCCGAGGCAGCTGATGTAGCTTGACCTAGAGTTCTCCGACAGCTCTTTCCGTCTCGTCCCCTCCATGGCCAGCGCACTGATAGTCTCCATCTCTTCACCCAGCTCTCTTGCCGAAGCAGGCAGGTCGAATTCCGCTAGGGCCCCAACCTCTAGGCGAGGGCGCTTGTTTGCAGGCATCTCAGCATTGTCGCATCTCCGAGCGCAGCCACAATCAAAAGGCTCGTTGGTCCAGGGAGCAGCACAGACGTCATGAAAGTAATGGCTGCAACTCTTACATTGCTTCATCTTGTTGAGGTGACGCTCCTCAGGTGGAACCCTACACAGCGGCCCGAGGACGCACTCAGTCATCGCACCGAGTTATCAGAACCAGAAGAGGCAGTAGAAGCGTGAAGAAAAAGGTTGAGTAGGAAGGCTGCAATCAAGGACGAGAGCTACAGACGAAAAAGTTGAGCAGCTAGGAATGGGGCTACAGCACGAGAGCAGGAAAGCGTGGACGAGGAGGAAGATGGAGTAAGGGCTGGGAAGAGAGGAAGCAGTGAGTGGGGGGTGTTGAGAAGCGAAGCGAAGCCAAGGGAGGAGGAGGAGGAGGAGGAGGAGGAGGGGCAGGGGGGAAAGGATGAGAGGGGCGCGGCGGGAAAAACTAATAAAAAACAGCGGAGCCTAAAAAGAGATTTTAGGTAGTACCACTTGTTGTACTGGTACAAAATATAAAACTATTTTTAGAAGCCCCTCATCCCCACTCTGATCCTCCATTCGTTGAGTGAAAAAAGGTGAGGCCGGTAGGGTCGGAAGTGACGATGGCGACAAGCCGGTGAGAATGGTAGAAGAGGAGCAGCAGGAGCAGAAGAGCAGCAGGAGCAGGAGCAGGAGCAGGAGCAGGAGCAGGAGCAGGAGCAGGAGCAGGAGCAGGAGCAGGAGCAGGAGCAGGAGCAGGAGCAGGAGCAGGAGCAGGAGGTAGGAGGTATGTATTCCATCAGGCAGAATTATTTAACCAGACGAATATCTGAGCATACGAATAGTAGAACGACAGTCAAGAGACGAGAATCGGGAGCTCTATCTTTCGATGTATATGTTCTCAGGCTACTGACACGAGGACGCGGAGAGGGAAGCCTTGCACTGACTGTGACTGTGCGATCCAGGAGTTTTTCTCTCCTTTCCTTGTTGTGTCTCTCAAGTTACAGTCTTGGATGCTGTTTCGTCAGCAATCTCCACTTCCCCAGAGAGATCGGCCAGCCCAGGGCAGCAGCCAACGGAGTTTGTCGCAGGACATGTTTCTCGTCTCCTACAGCCCTTGCAGGAGGCTTCGGCAACAACCTTGGAAAGCAGAGCAAGGGGTCGTCGAAAGGAGGCAAATCGGCAAAACCTCCGAAGCAGGACAAAGCTCAAGTTGCAAAGCCGTCTCCCTCGATGGAATACGTACTCCTTGCTCGCTTCTCAGACCCCTCGTGATGTTGCCCAGGCCATGAAAGAGGCTTCAAAGATCGTCGACAACCTGAACGAAGACGAAGATCCCTTCTGGCAGCTCATCGAACCTCTGATCCTGAGTGAGTTTCCCCGGAGTGAGATGGAGCGTGTCATCGGCTTCATTGAGTACTCGACCAACAAGCGCTCGTTGCCCCCGTCCATCGTCGACGACAAGTGGCGCCCGCACGAGGAGATTCATGCGTTCATGGCAAGTTGCTCAAGGAGAGTGAGGGTTGATGATAACAGCGATGCATGCAGGATGGCATTCCTGCGTCCCCATTCCGCGACACCTCCGCGTTTCCCTTCATCGCTGAGCTGGAGGCGAACTATGAAAAGATCAAGGTAGAGGGAAGGGGGGATGAGAAGGCCGGCGGGAGTTGATGGAGGACCTGCAGGCAGAGTTCGAAGCACTGCTGGAGAAAGAGTCCGATCGCTTCCAATCGGTGACGACAAGTTAAGACGTGGATGCTGAAGGGTTGACGCGGCGTTAGGTGACGTCAATGAACTACAAGAGCGGGTGGAAGACTCTGGTGACGCCTCTGCGCTTGTTGCTGAAAGCTGCAGTGATGGTGCTTCGTATCAGGTCCTCTACTACAACGGGCACGGGATCGATGGCTTTCCTTACCATCTTTGCCCCGTCACCAAGAGGTATGCTTCAGTCTCATGCTCTTCGACCCCCTCCGATCGTCTCCCTTCCAGCATTCTCGACAAGGTGCCAGTGGCTGGGAGGATCGCTGGTTTCAACCGCCAGTCCCCTCAGAGTGGTGGCGCCTGCTCAGTCCTTGTGTGGCATCGCTGAGTTGTCGACCAGGAATCCCGTTGCACTCAGACGGCAACAACATGTGGCTCACATGCCAGATGGGGATCAAGGTCAATCTCTCCTTACCCTCGTCCCCCACCTCCTCTCCCTCTCCTCTCCCTCTCCCCTCTCCCTCCCCCTCGCTCTCTGTCTCCTACTCATGATCCTCCCCTACATCCATCCTCTTCCATGCTCTCCTGCCGCCTTGAGAGTCACTGTGATAACGGCAGGTACCTGCGGGGCAGAAGGCATGGATCCGCGTTGGACCAGAGACGAGGTAAGGAAGAAGATCGGAGGCTCTCAGACCTGCTGACGAGCAGCTGGAGGCGATGGGCCCCGGGCAAGTGCCTGCTGTACGACACGACATTCGAACATGAGACGTTCAACGAGAGCCCCGACGAGGAGAGGGTCAGAACTGGCTCCTCCTCCTCCTCAACCCCGCCCCCCCCTTCCCCTCCCAATCCTTTTCCCTTCTCTCCTATCCGCCCCCCCTTCCCATATTCCTCCTCCTCTCACTCGCTATCGCTACAGGTTGTGCTCCATGTGGACTTCTGGAACTTTGCGGACTTGACGCCAATGGAAGTTCGAGCGATGCAGCGGATCTACCAGCTGCGAGAGATGTCAGGGCCGGTGGGGGTCGCGCGTCAGGATGACGTTGAGCCGCAGGTACCTGCAGGCGGAGGGGCTGCTGGAGGTGGGAGGCAAGCTGTAAGGGCAAGGAAGACGGGTAGGGGAGGGAGTGGGGGGGGGGGGAGATAGATAGATAGAGAGAGAGGAGCATGTACAAACTTGTATTGGTGGCCCTAGCACTTCGGACGAGCTCCACCATGCTGTCACAGGACTCGCTCATGGCTCGCAGATGTCAGGGATGGAGGGCAACTGGATGCTCTCAGCGCTGAACGGGTCTATCTCCTGCTCCCCACGTCAGCTCTTGCTCCTCCCAGCACGAGACAGACCTTGAGCATCGGAGGTTTCCCTTCCCACCTTGCGATCAGCTTCCCGTCCTGACCGCCAGTCACGGGACACAACTCTCCCTCCTCTACTTCCTCTTCTCCTCCGTTTCTCCTTCTTCCCCCCTTCCCTTCTCTCCCCCCCCCTTTCTTCCACCGCCGACCCTCCCTTGCTCCCCACCAGCATCCTCTTCTCACCCTCCTCCTCACCTGCCACTTTCCCTCGGTCTTGTTTCCCCTCCTCGTCAGCACTCCATGGCCGTTGGGAACGTTGTCGATGAAGCCTCCCTCGTACACATGGCCGTCAGGGTAGACCATCGTCCCGTTGCCATGCATCCTCCCCTCCTGGACTGACGTCAGAGCGACGCGGGGGAGGACGCGGGCCCTGCACCTGCCACTTCCCCCTGAACTTCATCCCCCTTGCCCAGCTGTATGCGCCTGCTCCGTGCTTCTTGTTGGCCCTCCAGTCACCTTCGTACGAGTCCCCGCTGCAGTACTTCATCCTCCCCTGCTCGCGACGGTGAGGGCAGCAACGAGGAAGAGGAGGAGGGAAGAGGAAGAGGAGGAGAAGCGGGAGATAGGCAGGGAGAAGGGAAGGAAAGTCCACCTTGCCATCGCGCAGCCCGGCCTTGAAGGATCCTTCATAGACACTTCCGTCCTGCGTGAGGAGGCGCGAGAGTTTTGCAGTCTCCGAGTGCATCATCCCATCCTTCCACTCCCCGACAAACTTACTCCCATCCGAAGCCTCCAGCACTCCTGCTCTCAGTCATCATCCCCCT